GCATATACACCATACACCAACAAATGTTGTTGTGATTTCCTATGATATAATATTCAAAGTTGCTTTTATATGAAGTATTATATACATTTGCTCACAAGCACATCTCTATAGGCCTACACTGAACAGCTGTGTTCATTTAGCTGTTTCGATAATCTAGGAGGAGAAATTAAGTCTGGAGAAATCAGGCTTGCTTACAATGGTATGCAGAGGGTGAAAATCCTCTCTTATGAATATCCCGTTATTTATGGAGAAAAGATTAACAGCGAAAAGGCCCAGGAAAAGGTTTCTGGACCAGCCCCAAATGTCTATTAATGTTTGGATGTCTCATTTTGGAAGATTTATCTGAATCAAAGATGCCATGAATATATTGATTTTTTTCATTTTTCCATCTAATATGAATCAGAATTTAATCCTAGAAGGAAAATAAAAGCTTGGGTTTGTTATAAATTCTCTTGGACATAGTCTTGGAAACATTGTAGATGCACCATGGCCAACTCTGAGTGCCAGCTCAATAAATCTTAAGTTTGTAGAAAAGATGGTTCTTCATTATATTGTTATATGCAGCAGTGTATTGTTAAATCCTTACAGGATCAGGATTGTGTAGTTGATAACCCTGCCTGCTTATTCTCATACGAATACCCCAAATTACAGTAAATTAGGCTGGTCCCAGATCTGTTTGTATGTTATTGGCCTATATAGCCAACTCCTATGATCTTTACTATTATCCTGGTCCCATATATGTTGGCACAGTATAACCAATTCCTAATGTCGTTGCCAATGCCTGTAGGCGTTGGCTATACAGCACAAACAGATCTGGGACCAGGCTGTTCAACTCAAGTAGACCTTTCATCCAGTGAAAGTGACTGGTTCCATAACATTAGTGCTGTGGTGTGCCAGTGCATTAGTGTGTCATCAGCTAGAGGTGTGGAGAGCCGAGGACTGATCGCAGACATGAGTCCAATCTTAGACATAAAGTCAGACACGTCGACGTGTGTGCGCACACATGTGGCAGACACACAGAAAAGTGTGTGTTTGTGCACGTTTGTGTGTATGTGTGCGGCAGACGTCTAGCCGAGTGTGAATGAGCAGAAATGTAAGCCCCGGTGCCTGTATGTGTATACGTTTCTTCTGTTGATTTAATACCCCAAGCAGTGAAATGTACACAGAGCTGTGTTTGTGCAGGACTGAATGAATCACCATCACGTCCGTGTAAATCGCTCTCAAGGCAAACACTGGCACTGGGCTGGCAGGCTTTTATCCCCAGACAGAGTGTGTGTCTGTGTGTGTCTGTGTGTGTCTGTGTGTGTCTGTGTGTGTCTGTGTGTGTCTGTGTGTGTCTGTGTGTGTCTGTGTGTGTCTGTGTGTGTGTGGGCCAGCCCAGCTCGCATGGGCTAAAAGCAGTAGGGTATTTCCATGTAAAAAGCCCCATGAGCACTAACATGTGAAGTTCATAGGAGCACATCACATTTGGTGTCAAATGAAAGCTAAGAGTCGATATTTTGGAGATATTAATCTATATATAAATTGTTCAACCATTTTCCATCCAAAAAATGTGGACTAAGCAATGGCTTTGATTTCTGGTCAAAATTGGTCTTCGAAAACATCTAGCAGAAAACGTCTTAAAAGGTAGAAATACACCAAAACACATTCATCTTAAAGTAAAGACTCTTGCCAACGAATATCAACATTTACATTTAGTTTGGGAGAAATTATTTGCCTTCTGTAAGTTTAAGAATTATTGCCTAGTGGCTTGTCATTCTGTTACCAAAAACCCACATATCTTTAAGATATTTTCACATTTCTCTCCCTCATGAGGAGATAGGATAATGCAAGTTCACAGAAGTAACAAGTAAAGGTAGACCTACCAATTAGTTAGTGTTTTTACTGATAACAATTTGGTTTAGGATTTATTAAATGATTAAAATGCATAATTCTGTTACCAAATCGGTAACAGAATTACCCAGAAATCTGTAACAGAATGACTGCAACTGAATTGGCTACAATGGGGGAGTTCATAGTAGTCACAAACCACAGTTGGGTCACCTGCTACTGTCCTCCCTTCCACTGGTATACTGTGATGTTCAGCTCATAACTGTTTTCTTTCTCTTTCTGTTGCATGGTGGTCAAAGCAAGAGTGTGAAAACAGTCTGGGCAACCCCTCCCTCTCTCTCTCCCTGTCTCTTCTCTTTCTCTCCAGTTAATGTCACCTCTCCTGGCTCTTACTGACACCTACCCATGAGCCCCCCTTCTTTCCATTTACTGTAACCAGCCCTCTCTCCCACTGTGCACCGACCGACACCGGACGTCCATGGACATTGAAAAGTAGTAGAAATTTGGTCAGTCCAAATCTGAAACAAATCAGAGACGTCTGTTTTACAAGTTTGGACAGCACAGTACAGTACATTACAGTAGGGCACAGTACAGTAAAGACGAGGAGAGGAGAGCAGAGCAGAGCAGTACAATTGTACAGTAGAGTTTAGTACAGTATAGTAGAGCACACTAGAGTACAGTATAATTTGCTGTATTGTACTGTACTTTACTGTACTCTACTGAACTCTACTGTACTGTACTGAAGTATACTCTACTGTACTATGCTATACTGTATTCTACTCCATTTTTCTCTTTCAAAATCTTAAGCTAACAAGGGGTATGCTTTTTGCTCTTTTTTTTAACAAGGGGTATGGCATACCCCCCACATGCCCCCTCAATGCTTCTCTTCGTTAGTTTTTTTATTTGTAATGATCAGGATGATGATGATGATGATGATGATGATGGCGGTAATATGAGCGTTCGTGCCTCGGTGAAAAATCAAACTATTGGTAGGTGAGAGCTAACGCATTGATATCCAGTTGTGAATGAGTGAGAGAGGTGAGTGGCACATCGTTTTCCTTATTTTGGAAAGGGGGACCGTCAACAGGGAAGAGAAAGGAGGCACTAGACTCAGAGCAGTAATATTTAGATGTTGACCCGTAATTGATTTTATTTAGTCTTAACAATATTATTAATTTTAAAAAACGGTGCAAAACCTTGTCAAATGTGAAGAAAAATGCTGAGAGAGAGAGAGAGAGAGAGAGAGAGAGAGAGAGAGAGAGAGAGAGAGAGATGAGAGAGAGAGAGATAGATAGAGCGAGAGAGAGAGAGGAACCGACGAGAGAGAGAGAGCAGAGATATAGCGCTCCTCCACGCTCTCTCTCGTCTCTCTCTGCTCTCGCTAGCTCTCGCTCTCTCTCTCTCTCTCTATCATCCTTCTATCTCTTTCTCTCGATCTCACGTTCTCTCTCACTCTCCTCTGTCTTCTCCTCTCGCCTCCTACTCTCTCTCTCATCTCGCTCTCTCTCTCTCTCTCTCTCTACTTACTCCTCTTCTCTCCTCTCTCGCTCTCTCTCTTCTCTCCTCTCTCGCTCCTCCTCACTCTTCTCCCTCCTCCCTCTCTTCGCCTTCTCTCTCTCGGCATCTCTATATACTACCCGTCTTTCATGGCCAGACTAGGGAGAGGTGGCAGTCAATACTGCAGAGTGACTGCAGAGCCCGTCGGTGGCCTCGGCCATAAACAGTTTGTGGTAGGATGGCGGGGAGCTGAATGAATTGTGGCTTGTTTAAACGCTGGTGGTCCCTACACACACGGTCACTCAAAGACTCACTCTTTGTAAACGGCTGTGCTTTGCTGCTTGAGTTATCATTTTTATGTGCTCGTTCAGAGAGAGGCAAGTAAGATACACTATTATCACGATCTTGTGTAGGAGTTTAATCTCAGGTTTGCCTTATGTTTGCTTTGCGTTGAAGATGTTCTACTTTAACTTTCAGCTCGAACAGTAGTTACGCTAGCGCCGAGGTCCTTAGTTTTATCATAAATGTATGTTTTCTTTGCGTTTCTTTCTCAAACTTGAATCTCCCAACATTAAGGCCTCCATGTGAGAAGTGCCTGCCTAAGCTGTGACCTACATTTAATTGATTAAAGGTAGTTAGTGATTTAGCACTTCCAGGCGCAACTCTGTTTATTAGGAGTTGCAGGATGATATGGGGGGAAAAACAGACATGGCACACACATTGGAGTTTTATGCCCTACCAGACCAGTGGTGCTGTAACCACACATGCACACACACAGACACACACACACACACACACACACACAAACACAAAAGTTTAATGCCCTACCAGATCATCTGTTGCTGCTATAACCACACACACACAGCGTAATTGTGAGTAAAAACATCAGACAACCACGATGATGAAAGTCATACTCCAGCACACACACACGTATTTAATTATTTCCCCCATACCTACTCAAGATGCCCAGCTCTGAGGGTGGAATCTTAACCTGAGATGCGCACACTTAAGTTGATGATAGCGTAAATCATGCGTTCATTGCAATGGAGCATTTGCGCAGAAACTTAGATGGAAAGTTGGTCCTTTCCAACCTGACACAGACCACACACTTAGACAAAAAGGTGCTATCTAGAACCTTAAAGGGTCCTTCGGCTGTCCCCATAGGATAACCCTGCGAAGAACCCTTTTTGGTTGCAGGTAGAAGAACCCTTTTGGTTCTAGGTAGAACCCTTTTGGGTTCAATGTAGAGCTTTTTCTACACAGGGTTCTACCTGGAACCCAAAAGGGTTATCCTATGTGGACAGCCGAAGAACCCCTTTGGAACCCTTTTTTCTAAGAGTGTACTAGCCCCATAGGAGGGCCTGTGTTCCCTTCTCCTCATCTATGGGGTTCCGTGTCTTACGTGGCCATCCTTCCAAATCTTGTCTCGGTACGTGAGAAGCCTGGGCTTCCGAGGTGATTGGGTTCCTACTAGTAATCACAGTAGCATCACAAGGATAGGAGAGGAGAAAAGAAAACATCACCCTGAGAGATAGTCATTAAAGAACACAGCTTATTTCCCTGGACCCCAACATGAAAGTAATCTAGAGGCTTCTGCCCCCGCCAGACCCCTGGCGGGAAGTATGCAAAACACTCTTCCCCTCCCCTGGTCCTTCCTGTGTTTCTCATTCCAGACCCGCCGCCTGTAGTCCAGCCCCCGGTCTGTTGTCGTTCTCAGGAGAGGTCACATAAGGGAGAATTGATGACATGGAAAAGGTTAGGTATTTCAAAATGGACTCTATTGGGTGTGGGGGTTTATACATGATGCAGTGAAGGTATTTTCTGGGATTTACTAGGTTGCAGTAGACAATATGAGATTTGGGTGTTATTAGAACTTATATGAGACTTTCATTTTGCCTATAGGCCTAAAGTAAGTGTTGATGAAGTGTCTTCAATGGCTGGTAACATACATGGTGGTCTGGTCACATTGTCATTATTTAGCCTAAATGTATAATGATGCCAAAAATGATAAGGCATATAATGGAATTTAATGATATTCAGTCATTCTAAATGGTTCTGAAAAAGAATCATAAGATTAAAGCACTAAAATGAGCAGACTCAGATAAATTCTCCTTCTTCAAGATTTTAAAGCGGCCACTTCTCATGCATTCCTCCAATCTCTTACACTACTACTCATGTGAGATCATCAATCTCCTGGCCCAGAGATAATTCTCTAATGTGATCTTCAAGCACACGCCTGCTGATAGCCTCTGTGTGTGTGTGTGTGTGTGTGTGTGTGTGTGTGTGTGTGTGTATGTGTGTGTCCTCCAGTGCCAGAAGGCCAACACATGCCTGTATAGCCACTTCACCTCATTCACCATTCTCCATGTGAACCTCTGAATTTCATTACAGTCCAGTAGTGTGCTTCACTGATTCGTCTTGAGTGTATAAACAAACATAGAACAGTAGTGACTGAGGAGAGCTTCTCACAGGCCCTGCACGAGAGGAGAAGAGGAGTTCTACAAAGACAGAAACGGTCCCTTACTTCCTTCCTCAATGTCTTGCATGAGGGCATGGTTTCATATCCTCCTCCTGACATAAGCAAGTGAGTTCTCTCTCCCTTCACAGATTACATTATGAGTTTGCTCTCCCACTTTCTTTCTGTTACGGGTCATTTCCTCCTGAATCATAGATTATGACACCATTGAGGGTGTCAGCTGATCCAGGAGAGAGATGGTATAGTCCATCCCCTTCCTGCCTTCCCCCTCAATAGTTGACAGGCAGTGAGATGGAACAAGGGAAGGCCTATGTAGGATCTCTCTCTCTCTCTGTGAATTATCCATAGCAGCCCATTCAGGGCTCCCTAACACCTGGTGTGGAGCAAACATCTTGCCTTCCAGTTGATCATTTATGTCAGAAATGAATAATCTCATTGCAGATGTGCTTCATGCTCCACATGTATCTTCTTTTTGGTGCTAGAGCTGGTGTTTATCCCCATATATATTATTTTCCATTTCATTCCATTATATTCTATCCTACATCTCTTCCTTTGTGTGGTAGCTAGTGTTTACCCCCATGTTGTGAATAGACTTATCTTTTGTCATCTGGTGGAAGTGACTATGCCACATTTGAAGGTGGGCTGGAGGCTAACCTAGAGGTGGGTCAATATTGACGCTAGGCTAACTGAGGAGGACATACCTAGCAGAGCAAACCCCAGGGCCACAATAGCCCCAGCCAGATGACAAAGAGACGTTTGTTTGCCCTGCTACGACCTCCATGGCAGCTCCTAGAGTGTAGAAGAGAGAGAGGACTTCAAAGAGCTGAGGCTTTGTTTGGTGTGCTCGCACTGTCTTCCTGTTCTGACTGTTAGGGTGGAGGCAGCAGCACTAGCACCAGATGTAGATGTAATGCGTGGTGTGTGTGTGTGTGTGTGTGTATGCGCATGTGTGCGTTCGCACAAACACACTTGCACAACCACAGTACAGTCAGCTCAACAGGTGACTCAACAATGCGAACAACAGACAAATAAATAACAAATTGTTTTTAATCTAATTGCTATCAAAATGTTGCGAAATTATTCAGCATGTGTCCACAATGCACAACATGTGTCCACAAAGCACATTCACACATGGTAGAACATGTCATTCCTTAAAGTTGATTGAAACGTTTACATGTCATTAGTGACCTCAGTAGTAACAGTTCTAACAATAACACAGAGACGCTGACAGAAGAGAACATACCTAGCCTGTGTCCCAAATGGCACCCTATTCCCTACATAGTTCACTCTATAGGGGAATAGGGTGCCATTTGGGATGCCGACATAGTGGCCTGGGTTCTAAGAATAAGCCCTGTGGCAGGGGAATGGCATGTGTAATCTGTGAGGTGATAAGACAGGGCCTGGTGTCCTGTTTTCCATTCCTCACATAGCCTAGCCTACACACTGTTAAAGCTGTGCAGTCAGCTTAACCTCCCAGGCCAAGGGCACTATAATGGTTATAGCTTGGCCTCCGTAGGCTATGTCTGTTCCTCTGTAATCTCCAAACCCAGAACCAAAATATTGTGTGCACTAACTAGCTAGCTAGCTACACACGTTGAGTCAGCATAATACAGGGTTCTGAGGTCTTTCAGCAGACTTCAGAATGGATCTCTCTTAAAGCTCAGACATAACGGTAGGATTGTCAAACGTTTGCCTGCCGACAGTACTTAGTACCTCTGACCGCCGACACTCTGTTCAATCTCTTTTGTGTTCACACAGCAAAGACCTTGGAAGTCGTCAGCCACTCAGCCTTGTTAAAATACTCCAAACCAGAAGGTGGCAGTAGCGTTGTTTGGCAATGCATATCCGTGTGCATTGCTTATGGTCTAGATTCCAAGCTACACTATAAATACAAAAGTATGTGGACAGCCCTTCAAATTATGGCCTTACTGAAGAGCTCAGTAACGTTCAACGTGGCACCGTCAAAGGATGCCACCTTTCCAACAAGTCAGTTCGTCAAATTTCTGCCCTGCTAGAGCTGCCCTGGTCAACTGTCAACTGTCAACTGAGCAACAAAGGCTCAGCCGCGAAGTGGTAAGCCACACAAGTTCACAGAACAGGATCCCCGAGTGCTAAAAATCATCTGTCTTCAGTTGCAACACTCACTACCGAGTTCCAAACTGCCTCTAGAAGCAACGTCAGCACAAGAACTGTTCGTCGGGAGCTTCAAGAAATGGGTTTCCATGGCGGAGCAGCCGCACACAAGCCTAAGATCGCCATGCGCAATGCCAAGCATCGGCTGGAGTGGTGTAAAGCTTGCCGCCACCAACTGGCAGTCCGACTGACAAATCTGGATTTGGCGGATGCCAGGCGAACGCTACCTGCCCCGAATGCATAGTGGAGGAATAATGGTCTGGGGCTGTTTTTCATGGTTCGGGCCCTTACTTCCAGTGAAGGGAAATGTTAACGCTACAGCATACAATGACATTCTAGACTATTCTGTGCTTCCAACTTTGTGGCAACAGTTTGGGGAAGGCCCTTTTCTGTTTTAGCATGACAATGCCCCCGTGCACAAAGCGAGGTCCATACATAAATGGTTTGTTGAGATCGGTGTGGAAGAACTTGACTGGCCTGCACAGAGCCCTGACCTCAACCCATCTAACAGCTTTTGGATGAATTGGAACACTGACTGCGAGTCAGGCCTAATCACCCAACATCAGTGTCCAACCTCACTATTGCTCTTGTGGCTGAATGGAAGCAAGTCCCCGCAGCAATGTTCCAACATCATCTAGTGGAAAGCCTTCCCAGAAGAGTGGAGACTGTTATGGCAGCAAAGGGGGGGGGGGGACCAACTCCATATTAATGTCCATGATTTTGAAATTAGATGTTCGACAAGCAAGTGTTGGTCATGTCTCCCGAGTGGCGCAGTGGTCTAAGGCACTGCATCGCAGTGCTAGCTGTGCCACTAGAGATCCTGGTTCGAATCCAGGCTCTGTCATAGCCGGCCGCGACCGGGAGACCCATGGGGCGGCGCACAATTGGCCCAGGGTAGGGGAGGGAATGGCCGGCAGGGATGTAGCTCAGTTGGTAGAGCATGGCGTTTGCAACGCCAGGGTTGTGGGTTCGATTCCCACGGGGGGCCAGTATTGTACTAACTCGGCAGCTAACACAGGCAGCTGTTTCATAGAAACTAGATCATCCATTGTCAATATACAGTGGTTAGCTAGCTTGGAGGAAGTATTTAGTGTTGTGTGCATTGCATCTGTGCTTGCTACCATCCCATAGCCTACATTGCATATGAAGTGTGGCACTCGGTGCCGTTTTAAGATGAGGGAGGACCATTATTTTTTAATGAGCATGGTCTTATTTCTATTACAGCATATTGGATGACTGTCATTCAAATTCCATTCACCTAGGTCAATGTAACATCGATTGGTTTAGGCTACTACATGATACTCAAATTATCCCTATACCCATCATGAGGTTGCTACAACCTAGCCTACGAATTAAAGTTTACAACGTAGGTGCACAGGTCAAGATACATTAGGGTAATCAAGGTGACAGACAGTGACATCTAGCTGATCTAGGTTGTAATCATTAGTCCAAAAGTTGCAAATGAGAGTTTCTATTGGACAAATTCAGGTATGTTTATCCCCGTTTCGTTCCATTTGCTTCCGTTTAAGAAACGTTTGTCAACAGAATCGGCGGAATGAATAGACCCCTTGATTACAAGCAAACACAGAACTAGCAGCCAAATATAAACCGCATGATAACTTTGCTTGTATATATAATTCCTTCTCGCATCTACGCTCTCTCCTCCTCTCACCTTTTCCCTTCGCTTGTGGACTTCAGTGCACAATACAACAGCTGTCTGTGACCAGGTGAAAAACCTTTCCATGCCAAACTTTGATACCATAACCGCTAACTGCTACACACAGCCTACATCGTTTTCACCATAGCAACGTCATAGTCAACATAGCTACTAGAACTATAGAGTTAGTAAACCCACTTAGGGCTGACCCCAATTTGTTGACTGGTCGATTGTTTGGTCGATAGCCTGTTGGTCGACCAAGATTTTTTTTTTTAGTCGAGCAGTAGTAAATATATACAGTACCAGTCAAAAGTTTGGACACACCTACTCATTCCAGGGTTTTTCTTTATTTTTACAATTTTCTACATTGTAGAATAATAGTGAAGACATCAATATGAAATAACACATATGGAATCATGTAGTAACCAAAAAAGTGTTAAACAAATATATTTTATATTTGAGATTCTTCAAAGTAGCCACCCTTTGCCTTGATGACAGATTTGCACACTCTTGGCATTCTCTCAACCAGCTTCATGAGGAATGCTTTTCCAACAGTCTTGAAGGAGTTCCCACATACGCTGAGCACTTGTTGGCTGCTTTTCCTTCACTCTGCGGTCCAATTCATCCCAAACCATCTCAATTGGGTTGAGGTCGGGTGATTGTGGAGGCCAGGCCATCTGATGCAGCACTCCATCACTCTCCTTCTTGGTCAAATAGTCCTTAAACAGCCTGGAGGTGTGTTTTGGGTCATTGTCCTGTTGAAAAACAAATGATAGTCCCACTAAGCACAAGCCAGATGGGATGGCGTATCGCTGCAGAATGCTGTGGTAGCCATGCTGGTTAAGTGTCCTTTGAATTCTAAATAAATCACAGACAGTGTCACCACTAAAGCACCATCACACCTCCTCCTCCATGCTTCACGATGGGAACCATCTACTCTGCGTCTCTCAAAGACACGGCGGTTGGAACCAAAAATCTCAGATTTGGACTCATCAGACCAAAGGACAGATTTCCACCGGTCTAATGTCCATTGCGCGTGTTTCTTGGCCCAAGCAAGTCTCTTCTTATTATTGGTGTCCTTTAGAAGTGGTTTCTTTGCAGAAATTCGACCACGAAGGCCTAATTCAAGCAGTCTCCTCTGAACAGTTGATGTTGAGATGTCTGTTACTTGAACTCTGTGAAGCATTTATTTGGGCTGCAATCTGAGGTGCAGTTAACTCTAATGAACTTATCCTCTGCAGCAGAGGTAACTCTGGGTCTTCCTTTCCTGTGGCGGTCCTCATGAGAGCCAGAAACTTTTCCGTATTGACTGACCTGTCTTAAAGTAATGATGGACTGTTGTTTCTCTTTGCTTATTTGAGCTGTTCTTGCCATAATATGGACTTCGTCTTTTACCAAATAGGGCTATCTTCTGTATACCACCCCTGCCTTGTCACAACACAACTGATTGGCTCAAACGCATTAAGAAGGAATGAAATTCCACAAATTAACTTTTAACAAGGCACAACTGTTAATTTAAATGCATTCCAGGTGACTACCTCATGAAGCTGGTTGAGAGAATGCCAAGAGTGTGCAAAGCTGTCATCAACGCAAAGGGTGGCTACTTTGAAGAATATCAAATATAAAATATAGTTTGATTTGTTTAATACCTTTTTGGTTACTACATGATTCCATATGTGTTATTTCATAGTATAGATGTCTTCACTATTATTCTACAATGTAGACAATAGTAAAAATAAAGAAAAACCCTGGAATGAGTAGGTGTGACCAAACTTTTGACTGATAGTGTACATTTTTCAAAACTTCATTGTGTGAATTGTTTGAGCTTGATTGTTAGTGTATATCACTTCCCCATTACATATTTACATTTACATTTTAGTCATTTAGCAGACGCTCTTATCCAGAGCGACTTACAGTTAGTGAATACATTATTTTATTTTTTTATACTGGCCCCCCGTGGGAATCGAACCCACAACCCTGGCGTTGCAAACGCCATGCTCTATCAACTGAGCTACATCCCTGCCGGCCATTCCCTCCCATACCCTGGACGACGCTGGGCCAATTGTGCGCCGCCCATGAGTCTCCCGGTCGCGGCCGGCTGCGACAGAGCCTGGACATATATCACCAGTAGTACATTTACCGTTAATTCCTATAATTCCTAATCTACAATGTTTGTTTGGTTATGGTAATTTCTGTTAATGCATTCAATGTATTATTATTCCAGTCTTACCGTTTTCATTGTCAGAGAGGAACACATTGTTTGCAGAGCGCACAACCTATGCTACAGTTGTGAGAAACACGTTTTGGTTTATTTCGTTCCATTTACGAGTTTTACCAATTCATTCATTATCTTTTGTTTAGAGCGCTCCTGTCAATGTTTAGTAAGGACTCGCACCTGATAACGCATAGAAGTATATAGGCCTATAGGCTACCTGGCCTGCGTGCAAATGTAGGCATATAAATGTGCCCATTTGTGAAGCTGATAGTATTTATGATTGGTTTAACGCACCACTAATGAGCTGTGGAGCTTCTCAAAGTAATGTTTTCTTCACCTCAAACAGCAAGCAAAGAAAGTCGGTTTTACATCCTTTGAGAATGACAATAGTTCCTCAATGTATTTGAAAAATCTTTCCAGCTCTCTTCCTTTCGATAACAAATCATTGTGAAAGCGAAAAGAAAGTCATGCTTTGATCCAGTGGAAACGTCATAAAATAGGCCTACCTGATTGACTTCTTATCAGTGCTTGACTTGGACTGAAATAGGTTGCAGTACTCATTTTGGGTGCTGGTACTGTTTATATTTAGGTGCAGGAGCTCCACAATAGTTTTGAGCTAATATTTTATAAGAGGAACAGGAGCTCATGCAATAGAACATTTTAGGTGCTGGTACTCAGTTCCAGTGAGCTCTTGCCCAAGTCAAGCACTACTTTTCCCTTGCTCAAATAGCCTACAGCTGTGTCTGTCCCGAGCTCACTGGCGCAGGAAACTCTAGCTAATAGTTGATACAATGTTTCAAGTTCGTTGCAGTAAGGCTATGCATAGCCAATGTGATTTATAGGATTTTATTTTAAATCAATATATTTTCTACCTGCACATAAATGGCAATGGCAATAGAAGTTACTTTTTATGTTTTTATCATTTTCATTTAGATTTGGATAGAATTTTGATTAACCACATGATTTTGAGATATGAAGACATTATTATAAATTAAATTAAACTGTTCCACGAAATTGTGCATATGAAAACCATAACTGGCACGCAAATCGGTAGAAATGGTAAGATAAATTGGCATTCCACATGAGAAAGGTTGCCGACTCCTTATGTAGTCTATTACCGGCAACTTCTGGAGAGTAATTGCAGAGTCTGCGAAAGCCAGCAGGAGGAGAATGGTTGGTTCAGGTTACCTAGATTTCTGGCTCCCTCTTGAGTCATTGGTGTGTTATTTCATCAATCAGTAAGTTTGAAGCATCAGACAAGCTCAATGCATATAGTTGATTTTATTAAAACACATAGGGTGTGTCTATATATGGAAAAATACATGTTAAAAAAACGATTGGTCAAAAGAGCAGACGACTTTCGGTCAACCAATATTTTTTTTTTGTCGGGGACAGCCCTAAACCCGCTACAATCATGCAGTACAGTGTACAGCTAGCAGTTACACCGGCGGGCCCCGGTGGCAATACATTTAATTAAACCAAAAGCTTACTTGACTTGGAAGAGTTCCAGTGTTGCATAACTAACATAGCATCCCTCTCTGTTTGAACCAGGTGTTTGAGTAGGCTAAACTAGCTAGCTGCAATCTCTAGCTAAGTAAATGAAAGTGAAAGTAAAAAAAATATTTATACTATGAAATATAGCTAGCTCTTTCTCTCTCTCTCTCTCTCTCTCTCTTGCTTCTCCTTAATTTTGGAGGAAATTAATTTGTTCAAAACTGTTCAACTATTGTCTTTCGCTCTCTTTGAGTCAACTACTCACCACATTTTATGCACTGCAGTGATAGCTAGCTGTAGCTTATACTTTCAGTACTAGATTCATTCTCTGATCCTTTGATTGGGTGGACAACATGTCAGTTCATGTTGCAAGAGCTCTGAAAGGTTGGAGGACGTCCTCCGGAAGTTGTCATAATTACTGTGTAAGTCTATGGAAGGGGGTGAAAACCATAAGCCTCCTAGGTTTTGTATTGAAGTCAATGTACCCAGAGGAGGACAGAAGCTACAGTGGGGGGAAAAAATTATTTAGTCAGCCACCAATTGTGCAAGTTCTCCCACTTAAAAAGATGAGAGAGGCCTGTAATTTTCATCATATGTACACGTCAACTATGACAGACAAAATGAAAAAGAAAAATCCAGAAAATCACATTGTAGGATTTTTTATGAATTTATTTGCAAATTATGGTGGAAAATAAGTATTTGGTCAATAACAAAAGTTTCTCAATACTTTGTTATATACCCTTTGTTGGCAATGACACAGGTCAAACGTTTTCTGTAAGTCTTCACAAGGTTTTCACACACTGTTGCTGGTATTTTGGCCCATTCCTCCATGCAGATCTCCTCTAGAGCAGTGATGTTTTGGGGCTGTCGCTGGGCAACACGGACTTTCAACTCCCTCCAAAGATTTTCTATGGGGTTGAGATCTGGAGACTGGCTAGGCCACTCCAGGACCTTGAAATGCTTCTTACGAAGCCACTCCTTCGTTGCCCGGGTGGTGTGTTTGGGATCATTGTCATGCTGAAAGACCCAGCCACGTTTCATCTTCAATGCCCTTGCTGATGGAAGGAGGTTTTCACTCAAAATCTGAGTGAAAACCTTCACACAATCTTCACACGATACATGGCCCCATTCATTCTTTCCTTTACACAGATCAGTCGTCCTGGTCCCTTTGCAGAAAAACAGCCCCAAAGCATGATGTTTCCACCCCCATGCTTCACAGTAGGTATGGTGTTCTTTGGATGTAACTCAGCATTCTTTGTCCTCCAAACACGACGAGTTTAGTTTTTACCAGAAAGTTCTATTTTGGTTTAATCTGACCATATGACATTCTCCCAATCCTCTTCTGGATCATCCAAATACACTCTAGCAAACTTCAGATGGGCCTGGACATGTACTGGCTTAAGCAGGGGATACGTCTGGCACTGCAGGAATTGAGTCCCTGGCGGCGTAGTGTGTTACTGATGGTAGGCTTTGTTACTTTGGTCCCAGCTCTCTGCAGGTCATTCACTAGGTCCCCCCGTGTGGTTCTGGGATTTTTGCTCACCGTTCTTGTGATCATTTTAACCCCACGGGGTGAGATCTTGCGTGGAGCCCCAGATCGAGGGAGATTATCAGTGGTCTTGTATGTCTTCCATTTCCTAATAATTGCTCCCACAGTTGATTTCTTCAAACCAAGCTGCTTACCTATTGCAGATTCAGTCTTCCCAGCTTGGTGCAGGTCTACAATTTTGTTTCTGGTGTCCTTTGACAGCTCTTTGGTCTTGGCCATAGTGGAGTTTGGAGTGTGACTGTTTGATGTTGTGGACAGGTGTCTTTTATACTGATAACAAGTTCAAACAGGTGCCATTAATACAGGTAACGAGTGGAGGACAGAGGAGCCTCTTAAAGAAGAAGTTACAGGTCTGTGAGAGCCAGAAATCTTGCTTATTTGTAGGTGACCAAATACTTATTTTCCACCATAATTTGCAAATAAATTCATAAAAAATCCTACAATGTGATTTTCTGGATTTAAGTGGGAGAACTTGCACAATTGGTGGCTGACTAAATACTTTTTCCCCCCACTGTAGCTGTCCTCCGGCTACACAATAGGTACCCTACAGAGTGCTCTTGAGGCTATGGTAGACCAATCTACCGATTTGGCTCAAAGTCAAGTTTTTGGCCACTGACGAGTATTGCAATTCTCAAGTAGAATCGGTAGATTCATCGCTATTGGGTCAGCACACAGCAGGTACCGCTTTTGTTCTAGCAAGAGAAGGAACGGCTTCCCCTGTAATAAGTACCTATCGGCAGTGAGATTCTTGGTGTATTTCATGATTTACCCCTCTGTGGCGGCCTCTGACCTCTCCTGTTGTCCACAATGCGACCCCCAGCTATAGACAGTCCTGGACACTGGTCCCCCGAGCCCAGCCCATGGCCACGGTCAAACATGGCTGTCTACTCAACCGGCGCAAACTGTCTGGTGATGATGGACGTCTCATACTTCACCCCTGGCCCCTGGACAGAAGTCTAATAATGGGGTCTGGGACTTCTATGTCCCCTGAACCTTAACCCTAGCCCCCTCTCTAGGCTACCTGTGACCGCTAGCTAGCCATCCACATTTAGAGGTGAAGAGGTCAACATCAGAGCCAGGGGAGGAAGGTCATGGGGGCTATGGAAGGAGGGGTATAATTCAGCCTCTTTTCTTTTCTCTTCTTCTTTCTGTTCTGTTTTTTACTACCACCTTAAGGAGAATGAAGCATCCCTACTGACTGTGTCAGAGATCCCTCTGTGCAGTGGTGCTGGAGCATGTTTAATTAGCCTGTTATAAAATACTGTAGCTAACTGAGCCAGTGTTCTTCCAGGAATGTTCATGATTGTGTTAGGAATGGCGCCGGAGGGGATGGCCGCTGTTTTATGGGCTCCTGACCAATTGTGCTATTTTGTGTGTTTTTTGACACTGTTTTTAACTTTTTTTCTACGTAATTTTCCCCCCATCGTTTCCTATAACCGAAAAGAGCTTCTGGACATCAGAACAGCGATTACTCACCTCGAACTGGACAAGGATTTTTCTTTAATGAGTTGGGCGCGAAGGCTATACTGCTCTTCCCAGACCAGGCCCAAATCCCTGACATTCGTATGAAGAGGAGACGCTGTTTCAGAGGCCTTTACCCTACATTCTACTGGCGAATGTGTAATCACTGGAAAATAAACCGTTTGAGACTATCCAATCAATGGGACATTAAAAACTGTAATATCCTGTTTCACAGAGTCGTGGCTGAACAAGGACATGGATAATATACAGTTCGCTGGGTTTTCCGTGCATCGGCAAGACGGGACAGCAGCCTCCGGGGGGTGGGGGGTGTTTGTCTCTTTGTCAACAAAGGCTGGTGCGCAATCTCCAATATTAAGGAAGCCTCAAGGTTTTGCTCGCCTGAGTTCCTCATGATAAGCTGTAGACCACACTATTTACCAAGAGAGTTTTCATCTATATTCTTCGCAGCTGTCTATTTACCACCACAAACCGATGCTGACCGCACTCAACAAGTTGTATAAGGCCATAAGCAAACAAGAAAATACTCATCCAGAGGCGGCGCTCCTAGTGGACAGGGACCTTAATGCAGGAAAACTGAAATCCGTTTTACGTCATTTCTACCAACATGTAAACTAGAGAAAAAATAAGTCTAGATCACCTTTACGCCACACACAGAGCCGCGTACAAAGCTCTACCTCACCCTCCATTTGACAAATCTGAGCATAACTCTGACCATAACTCTGTCCTCCTGATTCCTGCTTTCAAGCAAAACTCAAACAGGAAGTACCAGTGACGCGCTCAATGCGGAAGAGGTCAGATGAAGCGGATGCTAAGCTACAGGACTGTTTCGCTAGCACAGACTGAAATATGTTCCGGGATTCATCTGATGGCATTGAGGAGAAATACCACATCAGTCACCGGCTTCATTAATAAGTGCATCGACGACATCGTCCCCACAGTGACCGTACGTACATATCCCAACCAGAAGTAATGGATTTCAGGAAACATCTGCACTGAGCTAAAGGCTAGAGCTTCCGCTTTCAAGGAGCTGGACACTAATCTGGACGCTTATGAGAAATGCCCAAGAATGCCAAGGTAACGTGCCTAAATGACTACAGCCCTGTAGCACTCACATCTGTAGCCATGAAATGCTTTGACAGACTGGTCATGGCTCACATCAACACCATCATCCCAGAATCCCTGGACTGACTTGAATTCGCATACCGCACCAACAGATCCACAGATGACGCAATCTCTATTGCACTCCACACTGCCCTTTCCCACCTGGACAGAAGGAACACCTATGTGAGAATGCTGTTCATTGACTACAGCTCAGCATTCAACACCATAGTGCTGTCAAAGATCATCACTAAATAAGGACCCTGGGACTGAACACCTCCCTCTGCAACTGGATCCTGGCCTCCCCCAGATGGTGAGGGTCAGTGTGGCGGATGTGTTGTTGCCTACCCTCACCACCTAGGGGCGGCCCGTCAGGAAGTCCAGGATCCAGTAGCAGAAGGAGGGCGAGGTGTTCACTACAGGAAACACGACGGTGGACTACAGGAAAGGCAGAGCACGACTCCATTCACATCGGCGGGGCTGTAGTGGAGCGGGTCGAGAGCTTCAAGTTGCTTGGTGTCCACATCACTAAGGACCTATCATGGTGCAAACACACCAACACAGTCGTGAAGAGGGACGACAATGCGTATTCCCCCTCAGGAGGCTGAAAATATTTGGCATGGGACCTCAGAACCTCAAAAAGTTCTACAGCTGCACCATCGAGAGCATACTGACTGGTTGCATCAGCACTTGCTATGGCAACTGCTCGGCATCCGACTGCAATGCGCTACAGAGGGTAGTGCGTACGGCCCAGTACATCAGTACAGCCCAGCCATCCAGGACCTCTATACTAGGCGGTGTCAGAGGAAGGCCCTAAAAATGATCCAATTCTCCAACCACCCAAGTCATAGACTGTTCTCTCTGCTACCGCACAGCACATGGTGCCGGAGTGGAAGTCTGGGACCAAAAGGCTCCTTACCAGCTTCTACCACCAAGGCATAAGACTACTGAACAGTTAATCAAATGGCTACCCGGACTATTTGCATTGACCCCCTTATTGTATTCTTATTCTTATTAGTTGCTCTGACTCTCTTGGACTCACTGGACTCTAACCACACACTCACACATGCTACACTGACACTCCAACACACACACGGACACACACACACACACACACACACACACACACACACACATATATTCACATTCCTTCACACATTCGCTGCTGCTACTCTCTGTTTATTATCTATGCAGTCACTTTACCCCTACCTACATGTACGTTACCTCAATTCCCTCGACTAACCCGTACCACTTCCCGTACCACTTCCCATTGACTCGATACCGGTACCCCTTGTATATAGCCTTGTTATTGTAATTTGATTGTGTTACTATTTTTCCTTTAGTTTATTTAGCAAATGTTTCTTACTTACTTTTAAAAAATACATTTCACTGTAAGGTCTACTACACCTGTTGTATTCGGCACATGTGAAAAATAAAATTTTATTTTATTTGTGCGTATGATGGGATCCCTGACTGTGCTGAGAGAGTATTGTTGAATGCCATCGTTTGCCTTTTGAAGCCCTTGTGGGTCGTCGGGAAAACGCTTCCAAGGAAATTGATAATTGTATTTATTTTACGGCCTCCTTCGTTACAACGACTAGCCTCGGAGCGCTCTAAACCCTGGCGGGTTCAACTAGGCGGTCCGGATCATGTGCCAGTTTAGCTTTGGGCTAGAAACGAACAGGAAATGGTTTCCCTCCTCCTCTGTGTGTCCCTCACCATGCATGGGGATAAAGTGTTTAACTCTGAGGATAGCGGGAGGAGAAGTAAGTCCCAGATGTGTGAGGTGTTTAGTTGCAGTTGTTTCAGTCTTTTTGTGTGTCAAATGTAGCGGGCGGGTTGTGTGTCCTTCTGACGCTGAGGTCAGCTAGAAGTCTGGTCGGAGGTTCTCAGAGAGCAGTAGTCCCATTCTGAACCTGGATGTTGACCAACTGGGTGCTGGTCCAACAGGAAAATCATTACCAAGCACTCTCACATGTTCTATAACACCTATAGCCTGCAGGTATACTACTGACATAAGCATAAAAACGAAATGCCGTCTCTCAGATACGGAAATAAATAAACTTTTTCAAAAGAAAGATATTCGAATTAAACAAAGTTTCAAGTTCACTTGCTATATGGAATACTGTAAACATTTTTACTCACCAGAGTTCTCACAAACTCACCAGAGCGCTCAACTTAACCTTAACCGAACTGTTGAACTGTCATTTTAAAGTCAACAAGAGCAGGACCACACATGGAAGTCTTCTTCCTTTGCTCCTTTGCTATGGCAGCAGCTTTTGTGCTAGTAAGTGTGTAGTATACTTCCCATTTAGCTTCAGTCTCTGCTGTGTGTAGTATAAGACCTTTCCTTTCAGCCCTAGTCTCTGCTGTGTGTCGACTGCCATGGTCCTTTGTTCAGTGATAGTGTCCTCAAATAAAGGTTCTTCCTCCCTTTAACAGCCCTGAGGAGCTCTGTCGCTCTATACTTCCCATTGTATCCAATGAGCTCCCCACTTTACACCTGGATGAGAGGGTGTCAAATTGAGGGTGAAATACGATGACTAACCTATCCCTGACTAGCCTAGGGGTGCGTCCCAAATGGCACCCTATTCCCTATATAGTGCACTACTTTTGACCAGGGCCCATAAAAGTAGTGCACTATATAGGGAATAGGGTGTCATTTGGGATGGACCCCTAGACCTAGATTATACTGTAACAGTGTTGGTGATGCAATTAGATGTGTTCTGTAGGTATTGCTTTTGCAATGCAATTCAATGACATGCATGGAGGAGTTCCATGATTGGAAGACTATGCTGGTAGTGGAATAGAATATCTCTGTACATTCCATTCCTTTGCATGCTTACAAATTAATTTGTTACATATTCCCTCACAATGTCTGACGTCATATACTGGAAACCTTATTTTGCTTGTATAACTTAATACCATTATGGACCGTAATCCATTTGCAGGTAAGGTTTAAAAGTTCAGATGCAGCTATTGCAAAATAGAATGATTAATGACGCTTGCTGGAGTGATGAATACCAATGTATTTTGACATTAAAAAGGAAGCGATGTGCTCTCACTGTTCTCAATGCTCTGTGTTCACATGTACCGGCGATGTGCCTGCCTAGCTGTGTGAAAACGGTTCAAATGGGTTATCTGAGGGTTATAGGGCTAACAAGCCTCCAAGTCCCATCCCACCATGGTCTATCTGACCTGGGTTTGTCAGCACCAATCTAGCTAAGTCAATATCAACGCTGCCTGTTCCACCAATGACTGTTCTGCCACTGTAGCTCCACCACCACCAGTTGACCCTTTTCTCCCTCCTCTTTCAGGGCGTAAAATTGATTGTTATTACAGTAGAGTGATAGGGGTTTATTTATCTTTATGACTCTGGGGCTTTGTGTCAGGCTCCTCTCCTGGTAATACCCTAGGTGCATTGGCAGGCCATTAAAAGCCTTGAGAATGAGACAGTCAGGCTTATAGCTTTTATGATAAGGTAACTCACACATCACTGGATGCTATTCTCAACAATGGGCCCTGAACGACGACAGTAAACTGTAAACTAACCCTAAACTGTTAGGGTATACTACACTGTGCTGTGCACTGCGGGGGAGAGGAGACCCATAGCCGAGATTGTCATGACCTTCTCGTTGCCCCTACACTGTTCTGCTTTATAGCCTCTGTGATGGGGTAGAGTTGAGGATATATAATAGGCTATATGCCACTTAGCAGATGCTTTTATCAAAGGAAGCCTGCAAGAAAGCAGTGCACATTGTTAGTATGTGTATGTGATCCCTGTGGGAATTGAACCCACGACATTACCAACTGAGCCACACATGCCAACTAATGTGAATTGTGATACATAGGTCATGAACTCATTCTACTGCACAATTGTGAAAGATTTTACTGAGCATCTTACAACCCCGTGGGATTGTGCTTGCTGCCCCAGACTTTTGGTTTTACGAGTCTGTGTTCAAGGGCGAGGCCAGTTTGACCACTGAAGAATGTTGTGTGTTGTTTTATTATAGTTTGGTGTTGGTCCTGCCTCCAGACTCTTGACGTTAGGTCTGTCCTGTCATTGTCGAGGCATGCTATAGCTAGACTCTAACTGGAGGGCAATGACAGCGAGGTGAGCTTGTGGGGTGTTGTTTAACAGCAGTAGAAGGTGATACGGACCAGAGACCAGGTGTGAGGTGCAGCTTGGTCATGTGTGTGTGTGTGTGTGTGTGTGTGTGTGTGTAGTGTATCTGGGGCTGTAAATTCCCCGGGGGTTGACATTTATGGATGACCCCTAAGGGTCACAGGTCAGGGGTGTGTGAGGCACACACACACACACACACACAGGTGAGGGGTGTTGGGCTTGTCTTGTGGTCAAACCTTGAACTGTGAAATTGTCAGAGACCCCTTTCAAACAATGGAGTTGTAGCACAGCCAGCGTCAGAATGGAAGACTATCTATCAATGTTTTCCTTTTTTATGTACTGTGTCTGGTAGAGTGGAATAAGAAACATATGCATGAAACACATGATGAACACATGGCCAAAATGGTTTACATCTTTTGCCATTGACTTGACTTGAAACTATGTATTGATAGATTCAGTCATAAAACTTAAAAGAGTTGTATAATTTCTGAAAGATTGGTGATGTGAATTGAATGTATATGGATTCAGGCAAATTTCAGAGACGTGACTTGCAATCCACGGGTGCCACTGCAACACTCTTCCATGTGTATTGGCCCTTTGAACCTCTAACCAGTTAGTCAACTTTCTTCCAATCAAGATGAGAAGGAAGTCTGACAATTTCAATATCGCCACATAGCCAATGTAGAAATCTACAGTCAGATTTCCATAGTTTGTAGATATAACATCCCGTTTAGTGACTTTCTGTTAAAACCACTTAACAATTTGTATCTGTTTCTTACCACTATTCTATAGAATTTCTGTAACTGATGTTTTTCCAACTCAACCTTGTCTTGGCCTGAATAGCCTGCAGGCAGGATGCAGAGTTGTCCCTCCCTCTATAACTTGCTAATGGGACAGGGGCGGAAGGTCATTTGTGTCGGTACAAAGGGCTGTGGCCTGCACTGCGACCTGCTGTGTGGTGTGTCAGTGGGGCTCCCCGGCCTTGGCTGCAATAATGGCTTTGTCCACAGACACACACACACAGCACACACACACATGCAAAAGAAAAAGCATATACACAAGGTTTATTTTCAGTGAAATCAACAAGCATCCATATTAGGATAAAGCCTGATGTTTCCCTAACTCTGAGGTGGCTAGGCATGTGGTGTCCCCCATAATGATGTCCCCAGAGGAGCTAGGAACTTTGTTTAGACATGGACAGACCTCCAGCCACCACAGAGGAAGCCCAGAGTGACAGTCTCCACAACCTCAGCCTCAACCTGAGGCAATAGACAACAGGAAGAGCTTCTACACCTTTCACACATTTCTTTCCGAAGGACGAGAAGGGGACAGAGAGGGAGAGGTCAACTGTCCTGTGAAGTTGGGTTCAATTTAATTTCAATTCAGTCAGGGAGTTTGGAATTTCATTTTACTTCCTGAATTGACTGAATTCACATGGAATTGACCCCAGCCCTGCTGTCGTGCTTGCTCCTATCGGGTGGAGTTTGTCAGTAGTTCCTTAGCCAAAGGCCAATGAACAGAGGCAATACACAATACTCAACACATCATAAATTCGGTACAATGGTTCCAGCACATTTGTCAGTGAACTGGTGCCAATGTGACCTTTCAACCCTACACAGTTTTCAGAGCTGAAATTGTAAGCTTATGATACTTAGAAAAGTTTATTATCCTCTCTCTGTCTAAACTGTCTGACCTCCTACCCACTGAGACAAGCTGATAATAAAGCTTCCTTGTGGAAGTGGTTCATTTGTATTGAGACTATAGAGACAACTTCTATTATTCTTATGTAAAGCGCCCCTGTGGATTGAACCGAGAGTTGCATTATTCTGTCTCTGTGATGGGGTCTTGCTGACGTCATTGTTGACTGGGACAGGAAGGGAGGACTTTTAGCAGGCAGTCGTTCAGTATCGTAGGGGACAGGGAGAAGTGGTCAATGGTCATGTGATGGGAAATGTTTTCTTAGCACACTCAAACTGAGAAATACAATGGAAACAACACTGACCACTTTTCTCAGTTCCTGCAACAGTTTAATAGGGGAAGGAGAGTTAGGAATGTCATGTGAGAGCCATTGTGGCCGTGGGGTTGACCACCATCAGTCTGGTGGTAACCCAAGCTGTGGCATTTGTCGCTGATGTGATGTGATGTGATGTGATGCGCTCGTCAGGGAAAGAGTTCCTGTGGGGAAGGCTCACTGGTGGTTCTCATTTTGGTGGTTCTCATTTGATGTGTGTTTGAAGTGTGAGAGGAGGGTCACCAAAGGGCGGAGACACCCTGAGACTGGCCCTGCCTCTGAGTGGCTGGGTTAGGGGTTAGGGGGTGGGAAGAGGGGTTTAGGGGAGGAGGGAGAGTGTGGGAGTAGTGGGATGGTTATCTGGTTGAACAGCCTCCCACACACACCCTCAAACAGTCCTTTTACACACACAGAACACACGCCTCTCTGGTTTTACAGTCTTTCCCTGCTTTGATATGGACTGTGGCTGTGCTGACAGCTCTGGAATAAGGAGAGAAGGCAGAGGAGGGGGAGCTAGTTTACTGTCCTGGATGTAGAGGGAGACTGGAGAGAGGAGAGAAGCAGACTCCTGTCTTGGATTGTGAGCTATAGTAGTGGGAGACTGGAGAGGGGGCTGAGCCAGCAGAAGCTGAAAGAGGAGAGGTTGCTGTCCTGGATTTTTGAGCTACAATAGAGGGAGATTGAAAGAGGAGAGGCTGAGCCGAGAGACATGTAGCCCAGAGCCAGTGGAGAATAACGGACAGGATTGAGTAGTGATCAGAGCCTGCTCAGGAGAGCTTTCTGCACAGAGGTAAGACCACTAAGGGCTCTGCCAAATGAATTTTACAGTAGTGGATGAAAAAAATCAGATTTTCAATGGCATGTATCCTAGTTGTACCGGTATGGCAGAAAAAATACATTTTGGGATATTTTGTCATTTTTAAATGTCTCACACTTAGCAGTGACTTCTAGGTTTCAACTGGATTTAAATAGTGATTTGAACTGTTTTATTGGTAAGATGGTTAAAACAATTTTTTTTTACTCTGTCCCTTCTTTTTAGGGAAAAAATGCTTTAATATGCATGCATTCTAAGTGGTATGCTAGTATGGACATTGGTAATGGAAATGTAGGCATACTGAGTCTGAGATGTTGGGTCCTGTAATGCTATATGAATTTGATCCGTAGTGTGGTTGATGTTGAGCTAGCTGTGTGGCAGCAGCATGTGTGTTGAGAACCGGGTGCAGGCCAGGCAGGCTGTCGCGTGCAGGTGGTCCCTCTCACAGTGCATGGCAGGCAGGGTTAGAAGTTCCCTCTCTCACACCCATTTGATCTTGGAATAACACCCCCCTGCGATGGCGGGAGGCACAGAGGTCAGCCAAACTGTAGCCTGCCAGGAACTCTTTGATATGTGACAGACAGGGTTGTGAGAAACTCCTATTTTAAAGTTGATGTCAATCGTATTCTCGTGGTATTTTCCAGATTACTTTTTGTAAAATAATTTGGACAGTTCTTTCTGCTCATGGTTTCGGTACATTGGATAGTTGGATAATATATGTATTGGATGACAAGTTTTTATTTAATGTGAAAAAATTGCATGACAGAGTTGATTCACAAAGATCCAATTGTTTCAAATCTGAAATATTTGTACATTTTCAGAATGGTTTGTATGTAGGCTTGTGTTTCTTTATTTAAGTGCCAGGTATCGTACAAGGGGCTGGTTTTATGAAGTGCCAGCAGGTGACAAGTTGTAATCTGAGTGCACGTGTTCATTGGATTTGAAATAATCTGTTCCGCACATCTTGACTAGAGAAACATCTTGTTCGACAGACAGAGAAAAACAGACTTGTCTGAATATGAACTGGAGAACCTGAGACTTTTGAACTGAATATATTGTTTTCTCTCCAAGTAGACCTAGGGTCCATCCTAAATGACACCATATTCCCTATATAGTGCACTACTTTTAAATAGGGAATAGGGTGTCATTTGGGATGCACTAGACCCTATCCAGAATGAGTCTGTGGATGAGTCTGTGCTGAATCAAACACGTACAGTCCAGATCCACTGACAGAGAGCCACGTGTGATCAGTGTGTTTGTTGGGTTGTGGGATTGTCCATCACGCATCTCTTTGAAGAATTAAGACAGTAATTCAGACCAGCAGCTGGTTATTTTCCCTCTTCTTCTCACAAAGGTTGTTCATCTATTGTAGGAGATTAGTAGTGTGCATATTTACACAATAGTGTCTATATTTGGAGGACACCATTCAATCAATGAGTTTAGATGGGAAATGTCATTGAACTGAGTGGTTGCCAAACATGACTCATGGTTTAAATCATCTTGCGGGACTGCCACTTCACTAAATCTGCAGAGAACATGAAGCATATCTCAGGACACTTGTGGTATCCCCTCTCTATGCTGGCTGTAGGGCAGCAGTACATCCCCTGTCATTTTCCTCATACCATGACTGAGGTTTCCTCTTCATTGTAATTCATAGCGCATTTAGCATTTCCATAGGAGTCAATAGTCACTGGTTGCTCCAGCATGGTCTACCTCTAACCTGTCTTGAATGTTTAACAGCCTTTGTAAAGATGCTTGTTAACATGGCTTTACTTTGGGAGCATCAGATGCATATCTGACTGATTTGCCAACACAGAGACCTCGTAGCCCCTAGCCGGGAGGGACTGGGTGGGAGGCGAGCGAGCGGGCGAGAGGGGGGCACAGGAACTAACCACAAGTCCCTTGTATGAGCTATCTTTTCAACTCAGCCCGTAGAGGTTTGAGAGTTTGTCAGAATTCAGTGTGGGTACGATGGTTCCAGTCAGTCAGTAGATTGAAACAAAGTTGGCTGACATCTGAGGTGAGAATTAGCATACTTGCAGATGTGGTTCAGGGAAAGGCATTGCTAAACACATGAGGTATTGTCTCAGTATCCTGTATTCATGTTTCACCTATCTGGATCAAGCTATATCTCAGACTTGACATTCTTCTGAGGGAGGTTCTGCTCTGAGAGATCAGTGAAGAGAGAAAACATCTCTCTCATTCTCTCTCTCCCTCTCTTTCTCTCTAATGTAAGTCATATGTATCCCCCACCTTCTTCATAAAGCTACTCTGCTCTACTCTCTGGCTGAACTTTCTCTATAGTTAGCCTCGATCTCCCCTGAAACATCCAACCCACTACACTCTCGCTCCTCAAACAAGGCCACATTTTAAAAGTTATTTCAGTCTCATTTGCAAGTCAATAGATATGAATAGAACAAGAAGTGTCTTCTTTCGCACCTCTGACTGAAGACAGGTTATTTTTGTTTGAAAGACTCTAACCACCATGAATGCAGCAGAGATAACAGAGATCATCTTCAGGAGAGGAGGGGGGGGGACACACAGAGAGGGAGAGACACTAGAGATAACCAGGCTCTTGATGTAACATGCCTTCCACAGTTGATTCACTATGAAAGGCTCTATTGTTGAAGCTGCTTCGCAAGGTGTTTTATGTGGGAGGTGTCTGTCGTACCAACCCCACCTGCCTGACTTGACAGCTCCTAGCATAATGCAGACATGCATCATGGTACAACGCTGAAGCATCCACTTCTACAGGCATCATCCATCATGCTCGTGTCTGAGTGGATGCCCTGTGTGTGTCTTGTTGTGTGTGAGCAGCCTTGTGGAAGGCAGGCATGCCAGTTGTTGGCATGAGTGAGATATGGGTTATTGGGAGGGTGGGATTGTGTTCAGGCAGGCAGGCAGGCAGGCTGTCCTTAAGTGGAGTGTTGTTCTGTGGGTATGAATAGCTGTTTGGTAGCAGCCTGTCTGCCTGCCCTGTGTTGGGCAGTTAATCACTCATTCCTCAGGTCCAGGCACTATGCATGCGGACTGTGCTACACTGTGTGTGTGTGTGTGAGAGAACCACACACTCTCAGGTATGCATGCATATATGGCATTCTGAGAGAGAGAGAGAGAGAGAGAGAGGGGGGTTCTGGCCAACTACTGTCACGCCTGACTTCTTCAAAGGCACCAGTCAAGTGTGGCTGGTTTTCTCAGCTGTGTCCCCCACAGCCCTCCCCAGCCCTGTGTGCCCTGCCCAGCCGTGGGGGGTGGAGGCAGGGGTACAAGGGGGGTGTGCTGACCACTGGCTGGGGAGGGCTGTGAAGTCTCACAGTCAGAGCTGTAGAGCTGTGGCCCTTCTTTTGAGAAATGGTCACAACTGCCTATTCATTTACCCCATGCCTGTATTTACATTTAAGTCATTTAGCAGACGCTCTTATCCAGAGCGACTTACAAATTGGTGCATTCAACTTAGGATTGCCAGTGGGACAACCACCCTTTTTTATGGGGGGTGGGGGGGGGGGTGGAAGGATTACTGTCATACAAGGCCTTTCAGCATGGCTTGTACAGCTCAGAGTAGAATTCGTATAGTATGTAGTGGGAGTAGTAGTAGTAGTAGTAGTGGTCGTCATCGCCGTTGTAGTATTAGTAGAACTGTACTACTTGAACGTTGTATGCCCAATAAATGTGTTTTCCTTCCACCCTTACAGAGCAAAAATGTATTGTATGTCAAAGCTGTTTTGTCATTCCTCTCTTGAAATGTAGGCTACACTCAAAGAACTGAGGAGGTCCTGAAACCTGCTGCCTCAGCTCAGTGATTCCAGTGACATGACAGAGTAGTCCCCTTGCATTTCCACTTCTCAATGTATCTCCCTAGACACACACTGCTGTCCTGTGTGGCTGGTCAGCTGTGTGTATGTGTGGGTGTGTGTGGGACTGTGGGTGTGTGTGTGTGTTTTGTGTGTGCATGCGTGTGAGCGCTTGCGTGCGTGTGCTGGGTCAGCGTCGGGGTGAGTCATTCTTTGATCCATCTGCCCTATTTCTATCTGTCCATGTCAGGGTCCACTCTTCTGTCCCCATCTTTCCATTCATCCATCCGTCCCGCTCTTCCTCACCTGTCTGACAGACAGCGCCCTGACCTCCCATGAGTCCCCTCTGTCTCTTCCCTCTATCCATTCCAAAGATGAAAGGATGATCAGAGAGACAGACAGACACCCTCTTCTCTCTCTCGCTGTGGCAGGTTGAAAAACAAACAGCCGAGGAGAAGAGGGGAGGGAAGGAAAGAAAAAGGAGAGAGAGAGAGAGAGGGGCAAAGAGCAGGGGCTTTGGACATTCCCCATATGGCACTGGGATCCACAGGGAGTTGTGCATCCTGGGTACTGTTGTTTTATACAGAGCTACAGCTACAGTGATGAACCCTTTATCTTAAGATCTTACATCCCATATGTTAGCCTCCTATAGAGCGATACGTCGATGTATGAAATCAAATCAAATTTAATAATAATAATAATAATATGCCATTTAGCAGACACGTTTATCCAAAGCGACTTACAGTCATGCGTGCATACATTTTTGTGTATGGGTGGTCCCGGGGATCGAACCCACTACCTTGGCGTTACAAGCGCCGTGCTCTACCAGCTGAGCTACAGAGGACCACAGGTCACATGATAGGTCACATGCTTTGTTAACAACAGGTGTAGACTAACAGTGAAATGCTTACTTACGGCCCTTCCCAGCAATGTAGAGAGAAAAAATTTGAAAAAATAAATACACATCGAGTAACGATAACATGGCTATATACACAGGGTACCAGTACCGAGTCGATGTGCAGGGGTACGAGGTAATTGAGGTAGATATGTACATATAGGTAGGGATAAAGTGACTAGGCAAGAGGATCGATAATAAACAGTAACAGCAGCGCATGTGATGAGTCAAAATAGTTTGTGCAAAAAGGGTCAATGCAGATAGTTAAATAGTTAACCAATAGCTACCCAGACTAACTATTTAGCAGTCTTATGGCTTGGGGGTAGAAGGTGTTGAGTGTCCTGTTGGTTCCAGAACGCTTGCCGTGCGGTAGCAGAGCGAACAGTCTATGACTTGGGTGACTGGAGTCTTTGAAAATTTTTAGGGCCTTCCTCTGACACCGGTCCTGGATGGCAGTGAGCTCGGCCCCAGTGATGTACTTGGCCTTACGCACTACCCTCTGTAGCGCCTTGCGGTCGGATGCCAAGCAGTTGCCATACCAAGCGGACCATGATAATTCCTTAGTGATGTGGACACCGAGGAACTTGAAGCTCTCGACCTGCTCCACTACAGCCCCGTCGATGTGGATGGAGGCGTGCTCGGCCCTCCATTTCCTGTAGTATACGATCAGCTCCTTTGTCTTGCTGACGTTGAGGGAGAGGTTGTTGTCCTGGCACCACTGCCAGGTCTCTGACCTCCTCCCTGTAGGCTATCTCATCGTTGTCGGTGATCAGGCCTACCACCGTAGAGTCGTCTGAAAACGTCATGATGGTGTTGGAGTCGTGCACGGCCACGCAGTCGTGGGTGAACAGGGAGTACAGGAGGGACCTAAGCACACACCCCTGAGGGGCCCCCAAGTTGAGGGTCAGCGTGGCGGATGTGTTGTTGCCTACCCTCACCCACTGGGGGTGGCCAGTTAGGAAGGCCAGGATCCAGTTGCATAGGGAGGTGTTTAATCCCAGGGTCCTTTACTTAGTGATGAGTTTGGAGGGAACTATGGTATTGAATGCTGAGCTGTAGTCAATGAACAGCATTCCCACATAGGTGTTCCTTTTGTCCAGGTGGGAAAGGGCAGTGTGGAGTGCAATAGAGAGTGCGTCATCTGTGGATCTGTTGGGGTGGTATGCAAATTGGAGTGGGTCCAGAATGTCTGGGATGATGGTGTTGATGTGAGCCATGACCAGCCTTTCAAAGCATTTCATGGCTACAGAGGTGAGTGCTACAGGGCGATAGTCATTTAAACAGGTTACCTTGGCGTTCGTGGGCACAGGGACTATGGGGGTCAGCTTGAAACATGTAGGGAGAGGTTGAAAATGTCTGTGAAGACACTTGCCAGCTGGTCAGTGCATGCTCTGAGTACGCATCCTGGTAATCCGTCTGGCCCTGCGGCCTTGTGAATATTAACTCACATCGGCTACGGAGAGCGTGATCACACAGTCGTCCGGAACAGCTGGTGCCCTCATGCATGGTTCAGTGTTGCTAGCCTCGAAGCAAGCGTAGAAATAATTTAGCTCGTCTGGTAAACTCGGATCACTGGACAGCTTGTAATCCGTGATAGTTTGCAAACCCTGCCACATCCGACGAGCATTAGAGCCAGTGTAGTAGGATTCAATATTGGTGCTGTATTGATGCTTTGCCTGTTTGATGGTTCGTCAGAAGGTGTAGCGGGATTTCTTATAAGCATCCGGGTTAGTGTCCCGCTCCTTGAAATCGGCAGCTCTAGCCTTTAGCTCAGTGCGGATCTTGCCTGTATTCCATGGGTTCTGGTTGGGATATGTACGTACGGTCACTGTGGGGACGACATCGTCAATGCACTTATTAATGAAGCCGGTGATTGATATGCCTTAATGCCATCGGATGAATCCCGGAACATATTCCAGTCTGTGCTAGCGAAATAGTCCTGTAGCTTAGCATCCGCTTCATCTGACCACTTCAGTCATCTGGTACTGGTACATCCTGTTTGGGTTTTTGCTTGTAAGCAAGAATCAGGAGGATAGAGTTATGGTCAGATTTGCCAAATGAAGGGCGAGGGAGAGCTTTGTATGTGTGTCTGTGTGTGGGGTAAAGGTGATCTAGAGTTTTTTTTCTTCTAGTTGCACAGGTGACATGCTGGTAGAAATGAGGTAAAACGGATTTCAGTTTTCCTGCATTAAAGTCACTGGCCACTAGGAGCGCTGCCTCTGGGTTAGCATTTTCTTGTTTGCTTATGGCCCGATACAGCTCGTTGAGTGCGGTCTTAGCATCGATTTGTGGTGGTAAAAATATAGATGGTAAATCTTTTGGTAAATAGTATGGTCTACAGCTTATCATGAGGTATTTTAACTCATGCTAGCGGAACCTCAAGACTCCAGAAGCTCTTTGCGGTCATAAGAAACGATGGCGGAAACATTATGTACAAAAAAAGTAAAGATTAGCACAAAAAAACTACACAAACTAGAACAATTGGTCAGGAGCTGCCACTATTCCCTCTAGCGCCATTCTTCAGCTGGAGAGAATATTCCCTAGATAGTGCACTACTTTTAAACAGGGCTCATAGAGTTCTGGTCAAAAGTACTACAAAATATACTGTAGTGTGCCATTTGGGATGCAGCCATAGCTTTAGCCTTACATATGTTAGCCTCAGTCATGTAGAGACATAGCGCCATGATGAGCTACACTGAGTGTACAAAACATTAAGAACACCTTCCTAATATTGAGTTGCACCCCCTCCCCCCTTTTGCCCTCAGAACATCCTCAATTCGTCGGGGTATGGACTCTACAAGGTGTTGAAAGCGTTCCACAGGAATGCTGGCCCATGTTGACTCCAATGCTTCCCACAGTCTCCTGAGTGGCGCAGTTGTCTAAGGCACTGCATCGCAGTGCTAGCTGTGCCACTAGAGATCCTGGTTCGAATCCAGGCTCTGTCGCAGCCGGCCGCGACCGGGAGACTCATGGGCAGCGCACAATTGGCCTAGCGTTGTCCAGGGTAGGGGAGGGAATGGCCGGCAGGGATGTAGCTCAGTTGATAGAGCATGGCGTTTGCAACGCCAGGGTTGTGGGTTCGATTCCCACGGGGGACCAGTATGAAAAAAAACAAAAAACATATGTATTCACTAACTGTAAGTCGCTCTGGATAAGAGCGTCTGCTAAATGACTAAAATGTAATGTAAATGTAAGTTGTCTGGATGTCCTTTGGGTGGTGGACCATTCTCGATACACACGGGAAACTGTTATGCGTGAAAACCCAGCAGCGTTGCAGTTCTTGACACAAACCGGTGCGCCTGGCACCTACTACCATACCCTGTTCAAAGTCACTTACAGTGCATTCGGAAAGTATTCAGACCCCTTGACTTTTTTCACATTTTGTTACGTTACAGCCTTATTCTAAAATGGATTAAATAAATAAAAATCCTCATCAATCTACACACAATACCCCATAATGACAAACCGAAAACAGGTGTTTAGAAATGTTTGCTAATTTATAAAAAATTTAATAAAACGTATTTACATAAGTATTCAGACCCTTTGCAATGAGACTCGAAATTGAGCTCAGGTGCATCCGGTTTCCATTGATCATCCTTGAGTCCACCTGTGGTAAATTCAATTGATTGAACAAGATTTGGAAAGGCACACGCCTGTCTATATAAGGTCCCACAGTTGTCAGTGCATGTCAGAGAAAAAACCAAGCCATGAGGTCGTAGGAATTGTCAGTAGAGCTCAGAGACAGGATTGTGTCGAGGCACAGATCTGGGGAAGGGTACAAAAACATTTCTGTGGCATTGAAGGTCCCCAAGAACACAGTGACCTACATCATTCTTAAATGGAAGAAGTTTGGAACCACCAAGACTCTTCGTAGAGCTGGCTGCCTGGCCAAAATGAGCAATTGGGGGAGAAGGGCCTTGGTCAGGGAGGTGACCAAGAACCCGATGGTCACTCTGACAGAGCTCCAGAGTTCCTCTGTGGAGATGGGATTAATCTTCCAGAAGGACAACCATCTCTGCAGCACTCCACCAATCAGGCCTTTATGGTAGAGTGGCCAGATGGAAGCCACTCCTCAGTAAAAGGCACGACAGCCCACTTGGAGTTTGCCAAAAGGCACCTAAAGGACTCTGACCATGAGAAACAAGATTCTCTGGTCTGATGAAACCAAGATTGAACTCTTTGGCCTGAATGACAAGCGTCATGTCTGGAGGAAACCTGGCACCATCCATACAGTGAAGCATGGTGTTGGCAGCAACATCCTGTGGGGATGTTTTTCAGTGGCAGGGACTGGGAGACTAGTAAGGATCGAGGGAATGATGAACGGAGCAAAGTACAGAGAGATCCTTGATGAAAACCTGCTCCAGAGCACTCAGGACCTCAGACTGGGGTGAAGGTTCACCTTCAAACAGGACAACGACCCTAAGCACACAGCCAAGACAATGCAGGAGTGGCTTCGGGACAAGTCTCTGAATGTTCTTGAGTGACCCAGCCAAAGCCCAGACTTTAATCCTATCTAACATCTCTGGAGAGACCTGAAAATAGCTGTGCAGCGACGCTCCCCATCCAACCTGACAGAGCTTGAGAGGATCTGCAGAGAAGAATGGGAGAAACTCCCCACATACAAGTGAAACGAAGCTTGTAGCGTCATACCCAAAAAGACTAGAGTCTGTAATAGCAGCCAAAGGTGCTTCAACAAAGTACTGAGTAAAATGTCTGGATACTTATGTAAATGTGATATTGACATTTATAAAAACCTGTTTTTGCTTTGTCATTATGGGGTGTTGTGTGTAGATTGATGAAGGAATTTTTTTTTTTTTTATACATTTTTGAATAAGGCTCTATTGTAACAATGTGGAAAAAGTTAAGGGGTCTGAATACTTTCCGAATGCACTGTATATCTGTTGTCTTGCCCATTCACCCTCTGAATGGCACACATACACAATCCATGTCTGAATTGTCTCGAGGCTTAAAAATCATTATTTAACCTGTCTCCTCCCCTTCATCTATACTGATTTGAAGTGGATTTAACAAGTGGCATCAATAAGGGATCATAGCTTTCACATGGATTCACCTGGTCAGTCTATGTCATGGAAAAAGCAGGTGTTCTTAATGTTTTGTACACTCAGTGTATAACTCATCTGTCTTTGAAGCATGTGCTGTACAGATAAGGTGATAAGGTGAGATTTTAATGTGTGAGCCTGCTAGGTCTGGTTTTGCTCTCACGTCTGTGCTGGAAGGAAAAGTAATTACAGTATGAAGATGGAATGTGCAGTCCATTGTCGATGTAGAATTCAGGTACTTTATTAAAAGCAGTCTGTAAAGGTCTCACAACAATTGAAGACATCACCTCATAAAATAAACTTGCAATATGTGGGAATTTTATAATGGTTCTCGACCCAAGCCACATGAGGGGGATACATCATGATGAAACACTGCCATAATGGCAAAAATAGTGAATCGTAAAGGCAAATCGTAACCAGAAAAACTTAAGTGTTACCTCAGCGCCTTTCGGGGAAAACATCCCACATGAAAGTGGTGGTAAAGTGACTCGGTGACTGCTGAGAATGAGATTACTGGAACGATTTGGGGGGGGGGAGGAGGTTCAGCATGTTTTCTAGCAACTATAGTGGATGCATTACCAGTCCATATCAGTACAGCTTGGTTTGGCTCGGCTCGGCTCAGTAGTGTGAAAAGCTTATACTTTCACCCTGAAGTAACACATCCCTCTCTCTTTCTCTCTCCTTCTTTCTCTCTGCAGTAGAAGGCGTGGTGTGTGATGAACCTGGAGAGTGCGTGTGGTTACCAGGCCGGGGTGCGGGGCCCACGGGCTGTGATGGAGCAGAAGGTCAAAGGTCAGCTGAACTATGGCTTCCAGAGGAGCTCCACGTCAGACGACGACTCCGGCTGTGCCTTGGAGGAGTACGCCTGGGTACCGCCTGGCCTCAGACCAGAACAGGTGAGACGTGCCAAAATCTACACAACACCCCCAGTTCTAATAAATGCCCCTTATATGCACTCACTAACTGTAAGACTCAAATGTAAATATTCAACACTAAATGGCACTAATATGTCACATATGCAATACAACTGCTGTTCCCCTGTTCCACAAAATGACACAAAGTAGTATGTGATGATTACTAGTGGGAATTGAACCCACAACCTTGCCGTTTCTAGTGTCATGCTCTTATCAACTGAGCCACATTAGACCATAGAAGGACCCAGAAGCAGATTCGCTTGTTTAGAGAGGAGCTGAAAAATGCCACAGTAGCTTTCTCTGTCATTATTCTCCTTGTCATAACTCCATTAGGTAAGTTACCAGGCCTCCTCAGGTTATTGGGGTGGTGGGCAGTGCAGGGGGAGGGCTTGCCGTATGCTTGTCAACCTGAAGCAGGACAAAGCTGCATGTCTTTAACTGTTTAACTGTCACCATGGCACTTTGACCCTTGGGGCCACTGGGCTGGTTACTACTTTGCCCCTCGGGGCCGTTGACCACCACTGAAGGCTACTTTACGAGGGAGGGTCATTACAGACACCAGATAAAAAGGTGGGATGTTCTTGTCTCCTGTTTAGAGGGGGCTTCCTGCTGCTCGGCCAGTCTAGGGGGGGCGGCAATTTACCCCCACAATCTATTGCCCCCTATATCCACCTCCGCAGGCCAGGGGTTACAGAACAGTACACTGACTGACACCCTTCCTCCAGGGCTGTGTGTTTCTCCATTGTAGTGATCACCCCATAATGTGCACTACAGGGCCGTTCCACAGAATAGCTGCTGTAAAGGCATTACAGTTAACCCACGCATTTACACACAAAAGGGGAGGATTTAGAGCCAGGGGTCTCCTGTTGCTTCGGTCCCTTCTCTCCCCCCATCACCCTTCATTGCTTCCACGTATGCTGTTTAAAGGGAGGGAGAGGGGGATAGAGTAAGGGAAGGAGGCCTCCCCGGTACTTGGGAGAGTGCCACATAACACAAGTGGACTCTGTTTGTGTCGAGGCCCGCTCCAAGCTGAGCCCTGATGTTGCCAGCAACCAGCAGGACGAGGTGGGCAATGGGGCCTGATCCACTACTAAAGGCCTCCTCCAGCATCTGATCTGCCAGATCTCTACTAATCACTAGCAGACTTTTCCATGCCAGAGTGTGTAAATAGAAATATACACTTCCTGTCTCTAAGTGGCTTTGGGGTGGTGCTTGACAAGTCTGTCTGTCTCACAAGAAAAAGGAGCCCGCGCTGTGATCACTTTTAGGGTAGGGACACACAAATGCACGCACGCACCCACCCACTGCACGTACATACACACACGCAGCCCATTATCCAGGGACAGGCTGGGTAGGTATATTATCATTCCTAATGTACTGAAAAACAACTATCTGGGCCATTGAAATAGGTTAAGAGAAATATGTGAAGGTGCTCTTCTTTCAACAGGGAACTAGAAAAAGGTCAGGGCTGTTTTTATGTTCATTTGACTTTCATGTTACTTCACAGTATAGGCAACCTTCCAGGCTAATTTGTTTGTGTGGGAGGTGGAAGCATGGCGCTACCAACGCCAAGGTTCAATTCTCACAAGGACCAAACACACATACTAAAAGAAAGATGTGTTTGTTACTGTCTCTAACATCTCTCTTCTGCTGTCTGTGGTCCAGGTGCAGCTGTATTTCTCCTGTCTGCCTGAGGACAAGGTTCCTTATGTTAACAGTCCTGGAGAGAAGTTCAGAATCAAACAACTCCTGTATCAACTGCCTCCACATGACAATGAGGTAAGAGATGGACCCCAAAGAGTGTGTGTGTATGTGCATGCATGGGTGTGTGTGTGTGTAGTTCATAAACGGTGTGTGTCTATACTCTGTGGGTGTAATAAAATGCATCCCAGCGAGCCCTTTCATTAAAGGCATCGTAACAGGGCAGGTCTCACAGAAGGACTGCACCCATTTTCCCAAAGTTCATCCTTCCCGTCCCCTTTCTCTGACTCAATGTTGTTTGAAGAGCTGTGTCCGACCCTTGTCCTTCCCTGCCTTTTAGTTAACCTCTGTTTAAGACCACCTTACCACATACCAGGGTTGGTGTCAATTCCATTTAAATTCAGACTAGAAATAAACTTAAAGTCCAATTCTCCAAGCAATGAGAAAATGTAATTTGACTTCCAATTGACTGAGTTAAAATGGAATTGACCCCATCCCTGTCACCTATAGCTTCATGCCATTCTGCTCATGCGTGGGATGACTTGGCATTCACGTTGGCAGCATCACAGAGTTTTTAGTCCCTTGGTCCCACACTGGGTCACAGACTGAAATGGCGTGGGCACAATACGTCTTTTGACTTGATGATTTTATAATGTTTGCTGGGAGCCCCTGCTAGCAGGATTCCTGTCATAGCTGTGGTCTTTATGGGGACAGAACTGTGGGACGGGGGATGCTGCTGAAAGAGAAAGTCTTTGTGTGCCACCACCACCACCACCACTAACAGTTGCACCACTGCCTGAGCTGCCAGGGCTGCCTACCCTGCGTCTCTTTGTTGCCTGCCCTCTCGTGATTTCACTCTGAACACAACCCTTGTTTGTGTAAACTGTAAATGTCTGCTTTCCCTTGTTAGCGGTTTAGGAGGGAGACATCAAAAAGGGGTGTTAAAAAATACAATAAAAGGGTTCTCAGTCAGAGCTAAGCCAGGCTTAGGGTGGAGGTTTGGGGATGACGGAGGTGGAGGGCTTTGTTGAACATGCCCTTGAATGCAGCTCAGCTCCAGCTCAACTCTCTCCCTCTGTCTTATGATGATTGAAGGACTGATCTGTGTGTTTTACTAAAACACTAAAATACCTATTTCCTCCTAGTTTGACTTGATGTCGACTCCACTCCCTCATGTTGGTTGTCACTCTTTGTTCTGTTTGTGTTGTACAATAAAAGCCCACTTTCCCTGTGTTTGACTGTTTCTTCTCTCTCTCCCTCCCTCCCTCCCTCCCTCCCTCCCCCTCCCTCCCTCCCTCCCTCCCTCCCTCCCTCCCTCCCTCCCTCCCTCCCTCCCTCTCCCTCCCTCCCTCCCTCCCTCCCTCTCTCTCCCCCGTCCCTCCCTCCCTCTCTCTCCCCCCTCCCTCTCTCCCTCTCTCTCCCCCTCCCTCTCTCCCCCTCCCTCTCCCCCCCTCTCTCTCCCCCTCTCTCTCCCCCTCCCTCTCCCCCTCCCTCTCTCTCCCCCCGTCCCTCCCTCCCTCTCTCTCCCCCTCCCTCCAGGTGCGGTACTGCCAGTCTCTCAGTGAGGAGGAGAAGAAGGAGCTCCACATGTTCAGTGTCCAGAGGAAGAAGGAGGCGCTGGGGAGGGGCTCCCTCAAACTGCTGCCTCAGGCCCTGCTAAACAGCGTCTGTGAACATGTACGTCCCCGCTCTCCCTCTCTCACGCCATCACTCACCTTACCTCAGTCCCAAACAGGAACACACTGATCCATATTACTCAAGTAACTTACGTATACTATTGAGAAGCGGATAACAGAGAGATGTAGCCTGTTGTTTATCCCATTGTGAATATAAGGCTACAACACAGACAAAGATATGAAGCTCCATGTCAGAGATCCCTAAACGTCTGCTGGATTTTCAGCCATGCAGTCTATAATCTAAAAAAGCCTCTCAGTTGTTTGGAGAGTAGTTAGAAGGTTGGCTGACTGTACTGCGCTCTGCTGTGCTCGCTCCATGTTCAGAGTTTTATTTAGTGAATTTACAAATGGGTCCTGAGCAGCCTGGGGTTGACCATTAAACCTTGTCAAAACACAGCTCTCTGGTGGCTCTCCCTCCAGTCAACTTCACTCACTCCACTCCAAGATAAAGTCTGTTTTCTCATCAGCACTGACGCTTGCTCACTGCCTGCTTTAGCTTTTGCCGTGTGTAAGTACTGTGTGTGTGTGTGTGTGAGAGCGAGAGAGAGAGAGAGAGAGAGAGAGACTGTGTATATGTGTGTATGAGTGGAGTCCCAGTGTTAAAAGCAAGGCCTGTGTCCCCACATGGCAAACAGAGACAAACAAACAAGAACCTGACCGCAGTGGGACCAGAGTGGACCACAGTTAGCCCAACGGTCATAATTCCCATAATAACACCAGATGCCATGTTCTGTACTGACGCGGTCTCACAGATGGAAGGGAATTGGCCACGTCTCTCAACCCCCCTTTTCTCCCCAGCATGGCATGGGGACAAGGAGGCTTAGTGGCCATATGACACCCTAGCAGTGTTGGGAAGCTACTCTGAAAATACTGTATAGTTTAACAAGCTGCCAATTACACTGGAATAAGTTAAGCTACCCTTTACTTAGCTAAAGTTACTTTGAAAAAGTAGTTCACTACATCCAAACTACTTTGTGATAAATTATCATATCTAAATCCGAAATGTCAGACTACAAATTGCAGAACAGATCACTCTGGAGTTAAATGCTAACAGAATGTGTAATTTAGCCTATTAAACACAAAAACTATGTTTCAAGTGAGAATTATGCAGATATGATGCTAAAACAAAAGGAAATTCCTTCTCCAACCAGATTTTATTTTTGTAAAATAAGTAGTGTTACATGACAGAAAAGTAATTAACTACTGAAAAGACTACATTTGAATTTAGTTCAACTACCACCAAGCTACAGCAAAATGTAATTAAATTACTAGTTGAACTACATGTAGTTCACTACTCCCCAACACTGCACCCTAGTTAGTATCCAGGGTAGAGCCTATGCTGTAGGATATGATAGAAAGGATAGGCCACAACTACACAGTCCAGACTGGAGGTTACAGAAGCAGGGCATTTAGCCATAAATGAGGACATGTGGCAGTCAACCACACATTGAATTAGTAATGGGATTCATGTTTTCAAAATGTCAGCACTTTGACATTTAAAAATACAATATGCAATTTTTACTGGTCTTGAATGGTCATTTCAATTAAATGTATACCGATTTAATTCTAGATGAAAAATTACGTATAATAATTTTATGAGCTTAGTACAATACTACTGTATACAATCTCTAGTTTGAGAGTGAAACTCTGTTCCTATCCGTGTTGTTGTTTTTATTACAGTGTGGGGAGAGCGTCAACGGTGGTGAGATGGCGGTGTTTGCCTCCAGAGCGGGTCCTGGGCTGGTCTGGCACCCAGCATGCTTTGCGTGCTCCATGTGTAGCGAACTGCTGGTGGACCTCATCTACTTCTACCAGGACGGAAAGATCCACTGTGGCCGACACCACGCTGAACTGCTCAAACCACGATGCTCAGCCTGCGACGAGGTGAGACGTTTGTGGGTGTGAAGAGCCACTGTGGCGCACACCATGCATTGCTCCTAAAACCACGCCAGGTCGGAATCGAACTCACACCAACACTTGCATACAGTGAGGGAAAAAAGTATTTGATCCCCTGCTGATTTTGTACGTTTGCCCACTGACAAAGAAATTATCAGTCTATAATTTTAATGGTAGGTTTATTTGAACAGTGAGAGACAGAATATCAACAAAATATTCAAGAAAAACACATGTCAAAAATGTTATAAATTGATTTGCATTTTAATTAGGGAAATAAGTATTTGACCCCTCTGCAAAACATAACTTAGGTCAGACATTTTCTTGCAGTTGGACACCAGGTTTGCACACATCTCAGGAGGGATTTTGTCCCACTCCTCTTTGCAGATCTTCTCCAAGTCATTAAGGTTTCGAGGCTGACGTTTGGCAACTAGAACCTTCAGCTCCCTCCACAGATTTTCTATGGGATTAAGGTCTGGAGACTGGCTAGGCCACTCCAGGACCTTAATGTGCTTCTTCTTGAGCCACTCCTTTGTTGCCTTGGCCGTGTGTTTTGGGTCATTGTCATGCTGGAATACCCATCCACGACCCATTTTCAATGCCCTGGCTGAGGGAAGGAGGTTCTCACCCAAGATTTGACGGTACATGGCCCCGTCCATCGTCCCTTTAATGCGGTGAAGTTGTCCTGTCCCCTTAGCAGAAAAACACCCCCAAAGCATAATGTTTCCACCTCCATGTTTGACGGTGGGGATGGTGTTCTCGGGGTCATAGGCAGCATTCCTCCTGCTCCAAACATGGCGAGTTGAGTTGATGCCAAAGAGCTCCATTTTGGTCTCATCTGACCACAACACTTTCACCCAGTTCTCCTCTGAATCATTCAGATGTTCATTGGCAAACTTCAGACGGGCATGTATATGTGCTTTCTTGAGCAGGGGGACCTTGCGGGCGCTGCAGGATTTCAGTCCTTCACAGCGTAGTGTGTTACCAATTGTTTTCTTGGTGACTATGGTCCCAGCTGCCTTGAGATCATTGACAAGATCCTCCCGTGTAGTTCTGGGCTGATTCCTCATCATTCTCATGATCATTGCAACTCCACGAGGTGAGATCTTGCATGGAGCCCCAGGCTGAGGGAGATTGACAGTTCTTTTGTGTTTCTTCCATTTGTGAATAATCGCACCAACTGTTGTCACCTTCTCTCCAAGCTGCTTTGCGATGGTCTTGTAGCCCATTCCAGCCTTGTGTAGGTCTATAATCTTGTCCCTGACATCCTTGGAGAGCTCTTTGGTCTTGGCCATGGTGGAGAGTTTGGAATCTGATTGATTGCTTCTGTGGACAGGTGTCTTTTATACAGGTAACAAGCTGAGATTAGGAGCACTCCCTTTAAGAGTGTGCTCCTAATCTCAGTTTGTTACCTGTATAAAAGACACCTGGGAGCCAGAAATCTTTCTGATTTAGAGGGGGTCAAATACTTATTTCCCTCATTAAAATACAAATCAATTTATAACATTTTTGACATGCATTTTTCTGGATTTTTGTTGTTGTTATTCTGTCTCTCACTGTTCAAATAAACCTACCATTAAAATTATAAACTGATAATTTCTTTGTCAATGGGCAAACGTACAAAATCGGCAGGGGATCAAATACTTTTTTCCCCTCACTGTATGTTCTCTGAAGGCAACAGCAATAACCGCAAGACCAAACCATGCCACGCACTTCTCATCAAACTATTTGTTAATGTGCCTGTCTTCAGGTTATCTTTTCTGATGAGTGCACCGAGGCGGAGGGGCGTCACTGGCACATGAAGCACTTCTCCTGTTTCGAGTGTGAGACGGTGCTGGGGGGACAGCGTTATATCATGAAGGATGGGCGGCCATATTGCTGCGGCTGCTTCGGTTCTCTCTTCGCTGAGTACTGCGAGGCCTGCAGAGAACACATCGGTAAGCCCTGACCACTGCAGACAAGCAGACAGACCACTGCTTCTGCCATTGTAAAAGAAATGCTAGAAACAAAAATAAACTGTTAGATATCAATGTTTTTTAGGCAGTGAGAGAGTGTTAGTAATCCAATGCAAAAGATCAAAATAAGGTAACGTCATTATTCTCAGCCAGTATAAACATGTTATATGACATATGCCTAGGAGGAACTTGACGATGATTCAGGGAATCACACCACAAAAGTGTTTCACAAAATACACAAACAACTTTTCCCTCACATCTGTGCTAACCGAAACCTTTCTCCTCTCCACTAGGGGTGGACAATGCCCAGATGACGTATGACGGTCTCCACTGGCACGCCACCGAGGGTTGTTTCTGCTGTGCCCAGTGTAAGAGTTCTCTACTTGGCTGTCCCTTCCTGCCCAAGCAGGGCCGTATCTACTGCTCCAAGGCCTGCAGTCTGGGAGAGGACGTCCACACCTCTGATTCCTCCGACTCCGCCTTCCAGTCGGCTCGCTCCCGCGAATCCCGCCGCAGCGTCCGCATGGGCAAGAGCAGCCGCTCGGCCGACCAGTGCCGCCAGTCGCTCCTCTTCTCGCCCTCCATCAACTACAAGTTCCCTGGGTTCACCGGTGATGCCGGCAACACAGACACCCTCACCAACAAGTTGGCCCACCTGGGTTTAACCGACGAGGAGCGATTCTGGAAGGGGAGGGAGGACACGGAGGCCCCCGAGGACCGGGAGGAAGAGGAGTGGGCCGAGCACGAGGACTACATGACACAGCTGCTGCTCAAGTTTGGGGAGCAAGGTGTCTTCCAGCAGGGTGAGACGGTCGACTCCAGACCCCCAACAGATCTGTGGATGACCGAGGCAGAGGTCAAGATGAAACAGTGTGAGCCTCAGGGCTCTAGGGCTGGGAGGGGAGGTATCAGAGGAGGTGGTGGAGGAGGGTCAGGCAGCGAAAGCCTGGCCAGTAAGAAGTACCAGGCAGATATGTACTGGGCTCAGTCCCAGGATGGGTTAGGGGATTCGGCCTACGGTAGCCACCCAGGCCCTGCTAGCAGCCGAAAGCTCCAGGAGCTGGAGATGGAGCACAGGGCTGGTAGCGTCGGGGATACAGGCTTCCAGAGGGAGGAAAAGCAGTGGTATGATGACTCTCTGGAGTGTATCACAGACGGGCTGAAACAGACGGATCAGAGCGTGAGGGACTCCATGGACTCACTGGCACTGTCCAACATTACCGGTAAGACATGTTACATCTCCAATGGAATAGCCTTTTAGTCCAGGACTTGGCTTAACCAGGTCTTGATCTGTGTAGCATCCTACTGTTCAATGTTCTGTGATGGCAGATTGTTATTTGAAACAGTATTGTGGTGAATAGACACCTTGTACAAACATGTATTCTCATTCTCTCTCCTTCTCTTCTTCCAGCGGCGTCAGTAAATGGAGACAGTAAAGAGCGCCCTCTGGTCTACTCCTTACAAAACTTCCAGGAGCTCGAGGCAGAGAACTGTGAGAACACAAGCAACATGGGAACTCTCAACTCCTCCACGTTACACCGCAGTGCCGATTCCCTGAAGAGCCTTACGTCCGAGCTGGAACAGGTGGAGGAGAATGTACCAGAGGAAGAGGAGGCTCCTCTTCCCTCTCCCCCAAAGCCACCTCACGTCCCGGAGTTGAGGAGGACTCGCTCCCAGTCCCGACCCCAACAGGTCAAGTTCTCCCCAGATGTCGTTGACAACAGTCACTATGGTGACCTGCCAATGCGCCAGCCCCCCATGAGCGAGCGGACGCGGCGGCGGGCCTACCACTTTGAAGAGCAGGACCAGGAGCTGCTTAGCTTGGGCCGCCACCACAGGAGGCGCCGCAGCCGCAAGTCCCGCTCCGACAATGCTCTCCACCTGGTGCCCAAGGAGAGGGCCAACCGCATTTACTTCAGAGAGAACCATAGAGGCCATGGGAGCCACGGCCTTGGCCACAAGGGGCCCCAGCAGCAGACCTTCCTGCCCAACCAGCAGAGGTATGGCCAGGGCCAACCTGGTCACCCCCATCCCCACCCCGCCACCTCAGACTACGGGCTCCAGCAGGGCCCAGCCATGGAGAGGTTCCTGGGGTTGTGTGGGGACAGGGACGAGGATGACTGGTGCTCCACCTGCTCGTCTTCCTCCTCGGAGTCTGAGGAGGAAGGCTTCTTCCTGGGGCAGCCCATCCCCCAGCCTCGGCCACACAGACACTACTATGATGACCTGCCCAGCCCCGTGGCAGGCCTGCCCTCCCCACCTTACGGGGAAGTCCCACGGACTAAGTCCAAAAAGAAGAAGGGGCACAAGGGGAAAAACTGTATCATTTCATAAGTCCCCTTTTAAAATATACTCTGTCTGCATCACTTGTTGTTGCCACTGTTTGGAATATGGAAATGGCCTGCCTGCTTGCTACAAATGCCAAAAGTATCTTGCCAACTGGGTGTACTACATGTTAATATGGCTCTGGTCTTCTCCTTGAGATGGATTGCAAAAAACAGACATGTAGTTGTATTTCGAAGCGCTTCATAATTTTATTAGAAAAAACGTTTCTGCAATATTATGAATTGTCAACAAAGTAACACACAAAATAACTTGGAACAAATGTATTTATAAAGCAGGATTTAGAGACCAACTGAAAATACTATTTAACAGTGCAGATAGAAATGAATGCATATATTGTAAAGTTCAAATACGAAACAGATATTTTTTTATAACCTCGAGTTCCATGAGATGTTTTGTTTGTAGTGGAATGGCATTGAAAGACTAAACTGATTGCAGTTATTATAGGATCTGCTCTTTTGCTAACCAAGGTTTTAAAAATGAAAAGTATGATAGGAGTTTCCACCAGCGAAGTTATTACAGAATACAAGTATGATGACATCAGCTATTTCCACGTACGTGCTTCTTTTGTATTTAGGCTTACCGGTACGCATTTGCTGCCCTGACAAGTGGGGATAGCATATGTACTATATAGGGCCTGGTTGGGTTGACTATTTTATTTATGGGTTATATTATATTGTAAACAGATCAGTCATCTGTATAAATGTAAAAACTGGAATATAAGGCTAAGATTGATAATAATTGTAATAAAAAATATTATAACATGTCAGGTTTTTTGTTTATTCCAAAAGGAGAGCAATGTCCCCAAAAAGTTGGTACAGAACTAGTATGTGTATGAAGAATGACTATAGTGTAGAGGAACAGAAAATGCTGAAAGTTAAATAACTTTATTAAAAAATAGAAAAAGGAACAAAGAATTTAAGAATGTAAAACATGACAGTAAACACTTGTAAATGCAAAATATTCAAAAATCTTGTTTTCGGACACTATTTTTCTGGAGAGAACTGTAGGTATTGAAAACACCACTCATAACTCTTCATTACAGTACACTTAAATGTTGATGACTGAATTTCTCCAAAAAGCATATTCTCTACATTCCTTCTGTGTGTGTATATATACACAGTGTGCTTTTAAAAAATCTGCATGATTCGGTTATTTAACACTTGGTCAGAAAGCCAGAATTGGAGTTCTGCAATATGTGTGTAACTAAGGAGAGAAGAAATGACTGCTGGACATGAGGTTTAAAGGAACCACACCTGAATTGTCTTCTCAAGTCTGAAATCTATATAACAGCGCAAAAAAAAAAAATATATATATATATGTGAACCCTCTAAAGTGACCTCAAATTCGATAAAATATATATTCTCAAATAAGCATGTTTCCAATAATAAAATCAATCATTTTTCTTTTAGTTTACAATTGTTCGTTTTTTCTTCAAAATGTACTTGAATATCTTGGCAGGGTCGTGTTTCGGAGGACACATGGCTCTCGACCTTCGCCTCTCCCAAGTCTGTATGGGAGTTGCAGCGATGGGACAAGACTAACTACCAATTGGATATCACAAAATTGGGGAGAAAAAGGAGTAAAAGTCAAAATAATTTACAAAAACAAAAAAACTAATTGGTACTTCAATATGAATATGATTTCTTCTTAATGGCACAGTGTGGAGAGGATGCCACACTAGGTTGCCTCCTCACAGTCTCTATACCACCACACAAACTCCACCTCTGGTCCATCAGTTCCTGCACGTAATAAGGGCTTCGTGGTTCCCCCTCACATTGACGGTTTGGGCTTTATGACCTGGTCCAGCTCTATGATAAAGTGTCGGAGGTCGTCAAGACAACGCTCCCTGATCTCAATCAGATTGTCTTTCAGAGGGTTCTGGAGCAGCTTCTCCAGACTAGGCTCCTTGACCACCAGCATCTTGACAACCGTGCCAAACGTCTCGCAGTCCCGCTTGTATAGCTAGAGACACACACAGCAACAAATCATTACATTAGAAATGTGTACAAACCATAAAGTGAACAATGTTCTGAAACGTAGTAGTACTTAGTAAAATAACTTCATTAATACCAAGGGAAATTGATTGATCATCACCACATAGTCGACAATACGAAGTACAAAGGCAGACATGGATAAGAGCGTCTGCTAAATGACGTAAATGTAAATCAATCAATAAATGTTAACACAAACTATTAACACAATCAACACATGCACTATTAGAAGCAGGAGAAGCCAGCGTCATACACAAATACAACTGAACAAAGTTGTGCAGTGACACCTTTGCTTCAAAGTGTATTTAATAGCTGTAGCACAAGTAGCGAACACAGTTTTTATGGGTTCAGACCTAGTCCTTGTTCCAACACTTCACTGTGAACTTCATGAACCCACATTTCTGGCAAGTAGGTGTATTCAACGAAACAGGTGTGTGCATGTGTGTGAGAGCGAGCCGATGTGTGTGTGTGTCCAACCATCCATTGGAACAGAAGGGAGTGAAGGTGTTATATTAAGAGTCTGTTAGCGTTAGCTGCTCAGTTCTTTCACACCACATGGTAACAAAACAGGCCCTCAGGTCCAGCAGGCAGCTCTGGTTTACTACCACACTAGAAAGGGCTGTTAACCTCTATTAAAGCAGGGCTGGGGTCCCAGCCAGGTGCTAGCCCATTGGGCACTAGGTCTTTAACACCTGGGGGTTAAAGTGAACAGACCCACTATGTGTGTGTGTCCCCTTATTTGATCCTTCCTGGAGGTCAGCAGGTCTGGCCCTGGCTTTCACACCAAAGTGCCTTATGAAGTGCCCTTACAAAGGGAGCAGTCTGGGACAAGGGTTCAGCTGTGGGTTTCAGTGGATTCTAACAAGTCTCCTCTGAAGTGTACTATGAAAGTGCTCTGAAGTGTACTATGGAGTGCTCTTCCAAAGAGAGGGCACAGGGAGCTCAAGGGTTCAGCTAATCTAATCCTGCCAAGTTTCCACAGTCCTCACCACTCTTCAGAGCATATTGAAAATGCTTGATGAAAGTTCACTGGAGCTGGCTGGTGGTAAGTTTAACTTTACTGTTGCTTTTAGCACCAATAAACACTTTATACCATGTGTGTAATGTGCTTTGAATTCAAGCCTTGGTTATTTAGTCACTCTAAAATAATCACAATAACTGTATGCTAGCTTCATTAAAGATAGAAAGTATTTTGTAGTCACTGAGCTGCAGTAGTCTCAAACTATTTTTAGTCAGTGGCAAACTTTTTTCCAGTGGTAAAAGCTGTTTCATTACAGGAATAACATTTTACATTTTAGTCATTTAGCAGACGCTTTGATCCAGAGCGACTTACAGTTAGTGAGTGCATACGTTTTATTTTTTTCAACATACTGGCCCCCCGTGGGAATCGAACCCACAACCCTGGCGTTGCAAGCGCCATGCTCTACCAACTGAGCTACAGGGGGCCATTCTCCGCATCAATTTTACAGAACAGCAAGAGATTCCTGTGACCTATTTCTTTACAGTAGTGATCTAATCAAGAAGTCCCAGGATGCTTCCTTAAGAGGTAAAAAAGTATGTCATGTTAAGACCCTGTAGCCATTTTGTGAATCTGGGCTTTAGTATTCTTGTTTTCTACTTTAGAACAGCTTAAGCAAAGAAAATGTGTACTTTTTCAGATGTGTTATCTTCGACTGCACAAACTAAATATATGAGTTGTAGAGTGCAGAGTGGTCTAAGGACAGCTGGGCTTGACCATATAAAATTAGGCCTTGTTCCAGGACACTTTCAGCTAGGAGCAAAAAAGTGTGTGTGGGAGGTGAGTCTGACAATGCGGTACAGATAAAGAGGAGGATGTGATGTTTATGATGCTGTAACTCACAGGTTCAGAACGTATCCTGGATGAAACATGAACTGCCCAATGGTCACTAGCAAACAACCACAGGGCTCTCAGAAGGCCAAACTGACAGAGAGAGACTGTTCTACACAATAGAGTGAATAATAACAAGCATATTCCAGGTACAGTAACTACAAAAGCACAGAAATAAGTCATGCTGCTCAATGACTGACCATTTGGCCTATATTGTGGTTTAAGCGCATCTTGAGCCATATGCTACTGACGATTCCTGTTCACGAACTGTCACCAAGCACAACTACCACCGGAGGGATTTTTTACGCTAGGGTGGGGTAGAGCAAAGTTAGGCAAACTAGGTAAAGACAGTTAAGTGAAATTATACACACGCCACCATACTCTCCAGTGAGACTAAATGAGGGGTCTCTTCTCTGCTCTACCTGCTAATTAACTAAATTAAAAGAGCATCAATGCCTCCAGACGTCTCAAGGTCTCCAGCAGCATTCTCTCTCATCAGTCTCCCTCTCGCTTGTCTGAGTCTCTCCTCCACCCTGAAAATAACCCCCAGCTCAGCTCAGATCAACTAGCTGCAGCATGTTGAGGTAGTTAACCCAGACACAGCTATCTGCTCATTCCCGCATCTCTAACCCACATTCTCCTCCCTGTAGACTGCCCTTAGAACTGGAGCAGAACTGCTATGACCTGCAGAGGTGTTTTGCCGATGTAGACAAGATTCTAGAACACATAACCGGGTTAGATTCTAGAGAGAAAATTTGACACGATTGTAGAGTAAAACCTGCGCACAAAGTACCAACAAAAAAAACAGACAAAAATATATGTGGCATACGTTGGCCTGAGAGACTGATGCTTTAATGTCTGTGGCCCATCATGTCAACCGTAGCCACTGGGCGACAATGAAGTATGAAAGAAAAGAAAAAAAAGCTTAATAATGGATGCACTCACTCAAGTCGGTCTGGATAAGAGCGTCTGCTAAATGACTAAAATTTTTAAAAAATTTACAGGCACCACCCACAGGGAAGTGAAAGACTAGGAACACACTGTGTTGCCAAGTAAGCCCAGGGTCAAGTTCCTCTTTCAACAACATTCTCCTACAAGTCAAAGATTGAAAAATCGTTTCTACTTCATTTGGAACAGTTTTACCAAACATGGAATATACACTGAGTGTACAAAACATTAGGAACACTTTCCTAATATTGAGTCGCGACCCCCACTTTTGCCCTCAGAACAGCCTCAATTCGTCGAGGCATGGACTCTACAAGGTGTCAAAAGTGTTCTAGAGCGATGCTGGCCCATGTTGACCCCAATGCTTCCCACAGTTGGCTGGATGTCCTTTGGGTGGTAGACCATTCTTGATGCACACGGGAAACTGTTGAGCGTGAAAAACCCAGCAGCGTTGCAATTCTTGACACTCAAACCGGTGTGCCTGGCACCTACTACCATACCCCGCTCAAGGCACAAAGCTTTTGTCTTTCCCATTCACCCTCTGAATACACAATCCATGTCTCAATTGTCTCAAGACTTAAAAATCATTCTTTAACCTGTTTCCTCCTCTTCATCTACACTGATTGAAGTGGATTTAACAAGTGACATCAATAAGGGATCATAGCTTTCACCTGGATTCACCTGGTCAGTCTGTCATGGAAAGAGCAGGTGTTCCTAATGTTTTGTACACTCAGTGCAAATCATATAGTCCTATTACAGCAAAACTGAATTCAGGTGACTTTCAGCACTATACATTGACAATTGTAAATGTAGGCTAACTAACTTGAATTCTGAGCTTTCTTTGTTTAACTCAGAGGGAATAAGCATAACTGTGAAGAGAGATAAATTGGTTCCATGTTTAAAGATGCATAAAGAAACCAGTAACATTAACAAGACAAAGGCATGCAGCGCAGTGTCACATCTCATAGTACCCACTACTCACCATTAGGGCTGTGGCGGTCATGACATTTTGTCAGCCGGTGATTGTCAAGCAAATAACTGCCGGTCTCATGGCTGTGGGCTACACTAGTTAATTTAGCAGAAAATATTTGCTTAGAATTCCATGGCATTATTTTATAGTATGAAGAATATGAACATATCTGAATAAATTAGAAAGGATATTTTCTCCAAACGATTTCTGAGTGCTATATGCTTAATTTAGAGTTATTTCTGCAACTTTAGTTGTGATACAAACGTTGGGCTATACGTTTAGATTTTTAATACATTCTAAAGCTGCATGATGTGACACTTCATCAGTCTCTCATTCACAATTTGACAAGCACTTGATAATAGTCTCACCAGGACTTGAATTTTACGACAGCATCCCCCTTGTGTGGCCGTAATGCACCCCAAAAAATCAATGCCTTTTGCAGCCAAAGTGGGCGTTAAGCCCTTGGGCTGAATATAATCATTATAATTCCCTTCTGCAATTAGCGGTAAAACACTGTTCTCAAAAGTGACCGCAAATGTGATTATGCATGTAATGCTTTATTATAAAATGTGAATTTTTATGGTGAAAATTATCTCCTCCAAACTTGAAACTCACACCTATGTATGCCAGTTAGGCTCTACACCAGTTGTAAAGCGGATTAATGTGCTTAATTTTATTTGGCCACTTTAGTTGTGACACAAACCTTAACAAAACATATAGGCCTACGGGCTAGGCTACATGATGTGTACAACTATGATTTGAAAAAGTTGCAATAAAAAGGCATGCGTTGTTTCCTGCCTTACTGCACACGCTGGGCATCATTCACAAGTGATAGGCTAATATTGTTACCCATCAGACGATTCTTAATTTAATCTAGTCTTTACAAATACTAAATAATATACAGCTGTGGAAAAAATTAAGAGACCACTGCAAATGTTTCTTAAATCAGCACCTCTACATGTATGACAGCCATTCCATTCCAGTGTATGTTGAATTCCAACACAGGCACACCTCATTCTACTGAATTAGGTACTGATTAGGTGATCACCTGAACCAAATATTATTTAACGAGGAAAAGTATAAAAACCGTGGTCATCACTGTCCTTTTGCAATAGGACCAGCTGGATGGCAAAAACAGTGCTAATAGTACCTCAAAAGTAATATTAATCAAAAAATAACTATTAACCATGCCAAAAGAGTTGAAAATGAAAGTTTTGAGTGAGGAAAGAAGGGTTCAATTCTGGCTTTACTGGCAGAGGGATACAGTGAGATGGCGGTTCATAAGAACAAGGTCAAGCAGCAGACATTGGGGACAACAAAGCTACAGACCGGCAGAGGGCGAAAACGACTCTACTAACCGGGATGACCGCCAACTCATTCGAATGTCACTCAACAACCGTAGGATGACATCAAGTGACCTACAAAAACAATGGCAAACGGCAGCTGGGGTGAAGTACACGGCGAGGACGGTTCGAAACAGGCTCCTAGGGGCAGGGCTGAAGTCATGCAAAGCTAGAAAAAAGCCCTTCATCAATTAGATGCAAAGAAGAGCCAGGCTGAGGTTTGCAAAAGACCATAAGGATTAGACTGTAGAGGACTGGAGTAAGGTCATCTTACATTTACATTTTAGTCATTTAGCAGACGCTCTTATCCAGAGCGACTTACAGGAGCAATTAGGGTTAAGTGCCTTGCTCAAGGGCACAGACAGATTTTTCACCTAGTCGGCTTGGGATTAGAACCAGCGACCTTTCGGTTACTGCCACAACGCTCTTAACCACTAAGCTACCTGCCTCAAACTTCTCTGATGAGTCCAATTTTCAGCTTTGCCCAACACCTGGTCGTCTAATGGTTAGACAGAGACCTGGAGAGGCCTACAAGCCACAGTGTCTCGCACCCACTGTGAAATTTGGTGGAGGATCGGTGATGATCTGGGGGTGCTTCAGCAAGGCTGGAATCGGGCAGATTTGTCTTTGTGAAGGACAAGCCATCAAACAAAGCCGAGCTGCTTGAATTTTTGCGCCAGGAGTGGCATAAAGTCACCCAACATCAATGTGAAAGACTGGTGGAGAGCATGCCAAGACGCATGAAAGCTGTGATTGAAAAATCAGGGTTTTTCCATCAAATATTGATTTCTGAACTCTTCCTGCCAGCCAGGTAGGCTATACTCCTGTTGTAAAACAAAGCAAAGTGCTTAATATTAGGAAAGTTGAGAAATAAATATAGTAGGCCTAGCCTATAGAAAGCTGATGGGATCCTCTTTTTAATAGAGGCCATCAAAACTGTTTTCTCATTCAATTGCATAGCCTATAGAAATGAATTCATGGACTCTCATGAAGTGTTTGATTTGATTTTTGATGACATTTGCATTGCTGTCAGAGTGATTAGAGGGACAATAGAGTGCTGAGTACCAGGCAGTTAGCACGTTTGGTAGGCTACTAATGACCATCAGCAGCATCAGAGCTTGGAGAAGGAATTTGACTGCGGTCATGACTCGTGACCGCTGGTGTGGCGGTAATACGGTCACCGTAACAGACCTACTCACCATTTACTTAGAGATGATTATGTTTGCCATTTTTCAAAACAAAACCTTCCCTAAACTTTTCCCAAACTACAGTGTGTTGACAGTGATTACATTTTCATTTATTTACTTCCTATATACACTTCTTCTACATGCTTTGAAGCTTTGAGCAGGAAGAAGTGGGAATGGGTGAAAAAAGGGCCTTGTGATGAACAATGAAATCAAAATTAAATACATTTCCCTAGACATCACTGGAGCTTAAAAAAAACTTTATTAAGGACGCACAAACACCCTTGGAGTGTTTCTATGTGTGTGAGAGGAAGAGTGTCACGCTGTATTTATAACAATAGAGAGTATTTTAGGGAGTAGTGTTTCCTCAAACTGTACTGTGAACTCTCAGACAGAACCGGTCCCTGGTTACTTAACCAAACAGGAAGGGTGGTTTGACCCGAACCTGCTCTCTCTCTCTGTGTGTGTGTGTGTGTGTGTTTTTTGCCTGGGTTCCCTCCCTACCTCCCAGCGGAGGGAGCCAGGGACTGATCTCCAGACCTGATACTAGAGAGAGGTAGGGCCACACAGGATGGTTTAAGAAGCCATGGCTGAGAAAGGGGATGAAGGGATGAGGGGGCGTTTGGAGCAGACATGGAGGTCTGAATTATGGGGGTACAGTGGGTGTGTGTGTTTGTATGCGTGTAAGCGTAACGGATACAGAGTTGGGGGTTTCGTCTTTAGAAGATTTTACATCCAGAACTCACAAAGCTGTGATTCTATACTGGAGCTCTGCTCAAATGAGCCCTGATGCAGGCAGAGAGGCAGGGGTCCTGAGCTAATAAGGGAAGTGGAGTAATGAGTGGATGTAATGACTGGAGGGCCTGGTACACATTAGAGGATATTATTTAAACAGCCATTTAAAATCACTCAGCCTGGACTGGATGCAGACCGGACTGGACCGCTTAGTCTGAGTCCCAAATGGCACCCTATTCCCTTTATAGTGTACTACTCTGGTCAAAAGTAGTGCACTGTATTGGGAATAGGGTGTCATTTGGGAAGCAGACGCCCTCTGAGGGACTAACAGGGAAGACATTGATAAGTTTAGTTTACACTGATTGAAATAATGAATGGAGGGACTCTTCCGAAAAATCAGTGCCAGCAACGTTGGTCTCGATACTCAAATTCAGTTAAATCGTTTCTGATATTTAATCTAGGTTTCTAACCAAAATGTAAATAGTCGTACATCCATCCTCCAAATATCTGAGGAACACCTGTAGGCTAATGCTTTACGGTGTAATACCATCAACCAAATTGGAGAAGATGGGATACAGGCTTACAAGGTCAAGGGTTGCTGCTAGCTTGTTATCTGATTAATTTGATTGTCATTTTCAAAAGTAATTCCGCTAATGTAACACAGGAGCCTTCTGAGAGGAAGTTACAGGAACTTAGCATAAATAAATGTCTCAGTTTTCTCATTTGCTTTCCTAGCCCGTAATCAGCCACATATTACATAGGTACGGTAGCCCTACAGTGCTGTATTTTGAGAACATGAACCAGACATAACAAACATCTCCAGACCTGACTGACCCCAATGAGTATCCCAATCGTATGGAGAGTTGAGTATATTTCTAGACTTCATCCCTCAGTCTCACTGAAAATGTGCTCATTCAAAACAGCCTCCTCTGAAGATCAGTATAGGACATAAAGGAGTGAGTGCTCATGGCTCAGGGGTGATGTGGTTAGTAACGGGCAGTCTCTTCCCTCCATGTGGAGTTGAATAAACAGCTATGGACAGGAGCCATCGCACTAAATCAGCCTCAATGGAGGTCAGAACCTCGTGCCAGTGCCCAGCCCCATCCTCAACCCTATCCCCAGCTCCAGACTTTTGTCTGCCCCAACCACATCCCTAGTGTTAGCCACATCTCTATTCCCATCCCCAGCCCTGTACCCCAGCCACATCCCCATGCAAACCCAGCTCAATTCCCAGTCCCATGTATCTTGGTTTCCATTTGGTCTGGTGAGTTTGGCTTGGCCCTCCACTGTACAGGGATGGGGGATCAGACTGCATTTGGCTAAGGTCAATACAGATGTTACAAGCCGGTACCTCTCCACACAACTGCTGTTGTGACCTGGTTAGGAAATGGCAGGGTAAGCATGTGTGTGTTATGTGTGCGTACGCATGTGTGTAATGGCAAAAGAAGTACCCACACCGTGGGTGGCCTGCCAGAACCCTGCAGGGCAATTCCTGCCCTGGTTTAACGGGAACAGATAAGTGGTAGTGCAGCACAGTGTGTGTGTGTGTGTGTGTGTGTGTGTGTGTGGAGGGAAGGGCCGGGCTGGCAGACTCAAATAGCAGGCCCTGTGTAGAGCGTCACAACCAGAGATGCTTAAGTCCTTTCTGCCAACTCATCCTCCCCCTCTCATCTTCCCTCCCTCCCTGTGCTCTCGCTCTCCCTGCCAAATCAAAATGACGTTTCCCAAGCCGCCATACGCAGGCAATAGGGCTTCAGAGAGCCACTAATCCAAATGGAGGAACGGTTCAGGCCTAGGAGTCGGACTAGAGATAGCAGTCTTGCACAGGTCCATTTTTTGGAGCCGCACCTGCCCCACATCAATTCCAAGCCCCACCCGATACCCGACATCAGGACTAGGGATGCACATTTTGGTCAATTTTGCTGCAGACTAATTGACCCTCATTAACCGATCAACAAACGGTTACATTTAAAAAAAAAAGTAAAATAACGTGACCAACAGAAAATACTACTAGAGCTCTGTATATAATGACGAGATGCTAATGTTTCCGCTCTAACAATGGGAGTCGGCCCAAGGCGGAAAGGCAGGCGGGAAGCTTAGGCCCAAAATAAGCATACAGAAACGTATTTGCCTTATTTTGGCGAGTGTAAAACCTCTCGCTTTGCCTCTTCCTCTCTGGTAATAAGCATACATACATGCACGGACCGGACATTTTTCATTAAGAGCTTAATGGAAGCATTCAACAATAGCAAGCTTATCGCCTTACAGTTCAAAAGGCTATAGTCTATTATTGAACATGCAACTGCTGTAATGAAGCAGCTAATAAAACGTCATTTTCAAACATTTGCCAAAATGCAATTGGAAGAAAACACAGTTCTAAACCTAATGCGAGCAGTTGTGACAGATATTAAAATCTCACATTAGACACGTAGAAAGAGGGGGAATCTAATAGTTGTTGCTATGATGGGTTGCTAATATGACTAGGATTGTGCCTTTGGTTGATATGAAAACCAATAGAACAGGAGAGAAATGCTGATTAATGGCATGAGGAAGTCTTTATAAAATAATTGCCTCCACGTTTCCAAGAATGGATTTTCGCAAGGCTACTTTGAAGCAAGGTAAGACATGCCTCATTATTTGAAGTAAAGTAAAACATTCAGGTTTCAAACAATTCTACTGCCTCAAGCTCACATTGCAAAGTGGTGGCTGACGCGCTGATAGTCAGCGGTAGGCAGGCTATATCCTATACACCCGAATGGGAGGTGCGCTTTAATTACGAGTTGAGATTGTGAAATAAAAAAATAGCCGCTTTAAAATCGTGGCCACCAACGTTTTTAACACGCGATCACATTTAGAATTGTTATTTGTTTGCGCAATGACTGGGCATACAAAAGCAGGTAGCCTACAGACTTTTAGAGGAGCTAATTTCGCACGGTCTGACAGGTGGTAGGCTATTCCTCTCCTCAAACTAGGCTCTATACTGTGTGCGTGTGATAAATACGATGCATGATGAGTAACGAAAATACACAATTCCACAAAAATCGGCTAACCGATTAACATCCCTAATCAGGACAGATGTTTATCCGCAACCTGACCCACCCGCATAGAATTGTTCCGAGAGCCGATCAGTGCCCCGTCAAATAACGTCAATTGATTTAATAGTTTTTACGACTCCAGAGTAGCCTATGATTCCCCTCTATGCATGTCTAGTCAACATTTGGATAAAAGGAAACATCCCGTGTGTTAAGAACGATATCTTTTTATTTTTACAACAAGATGCGGCACATTGACGACTCAAATAGCCTTCTTACCGAATGAAAGCCTATAGCCGACATAAAAACATTTACATTCAAAATTGTTAAGATAATCAAATAGTTTAATTAAAACAATTCCCAGAATCGAATATAGGCTGTAAAAATTATTGTATTTTGTAGGCTATAGCCTAGGCTAGTCAAACCTTTACCAGCATGCCGTTTTTAGACATGATATGGCCTGCATATGGTCTAAATGAACAAAAGCCTGAATTAACGTAATAATTAACTGATATTAAACTGAATTAGCCTATCGTAAACAAATACCTGATTGCACTTTTTGCTGGCTGTGTATCCATCTACCGGGTTGTTGTCCTTGTCCACAATGACACAAAAATCCTTCCAAACCAGCAGATTTTTTTTGCGGGGAACCGTGGGTATCCAACCCGATGCAGGACTCTACCACACAGCCAGCAGAGTAGCAGAGAATTACTAGCTAGCAGTTGGGGGTTGTTGGATAGTGGGACCTGTATTACCTTCTCAATTTCGAGGGCTTTAGCTGCGATGGCTTGAGAGCGCCGTGTCTTGAAGTTGTCCTCCTGCGTCTGGTCTGTCTCATCCTTGGCCGGCACCGTGTCCTCCGGCTCCGCTAGCAGGGCTGGGGTGGGGTCACGTTCCTCCTGGGAGGGTAAAGGTTAAAGCTTATGGGTTAGAGTGCCAGGCAGGACACAGCAGTTCAAATGGCTTAACTGATTCTGGTTTCAAATTCAAAGCATGCGAGGGCAACAGCGATTAGAGTCAACAAGGTTGTTGTTGCTGTTATTTTGTTTTTCAGCACAACAAACGCTTGAATATGTATGCCGCATCTCAACAGTGATCTAGAATGTTTTTCCTTCAACATCTTTGATCAAAGACCGTCGACAGCCGAAGATGAAGGCCCACCAACGTAAGTGCATCATACTGCATCATTTAGTGTTAAAAGGGAAATGAGACACAAAAACATAAGATCTCCGAGTGTCAATTTGAGCGAGAGGAGGCCTTTTGTGACCGTGTTAGCATTGAAAACAAGCAACTTTTGAAACACCAACTACTTTTAGTTTACAGAATCCAGAACGCTTTCATCCATGGCAAGGCAATGGGTCATACACGGTGAATGCAGTCTTCCAGTCTTCGTCTATCGTGACATCGTCAGACCACAAGATAGAGACAGGCCACTTAATGTACATCAACTGTTCCTCCGCGATGTGGGTTCTAGAATGAATGACATGAACAGGGATCTGCAACAGATTCCATACACCATGACAAGGCAATGAATTGTGTTGATAAATTGTGTTTCCATACGAAAGTATGGAAAATGTGATGGTCAGACAATGTTGAAACGACGACACAAAAAATTGCCTGTATGGGTAACAACTGTCTGCAACTATGTATCGAGTCTCATGGAATTCCATAATCCAACCCAGTGATGGAAAACAGTTGTTCAGGTCTTAAGAGATTCTTCTACATTTCAGGACTTGCATTACGCTACTAAAGGGCATGCTGCTACTCTAACGGGTAACATATCGTTTTGATATAGGCTTAATAAAACGATCCTATCAACTGAATGCGAGAGGCTGAGCTGAATCAGGAGCAGTGAGCTATGGCCAACATAGTTCTGCAGTCGTACCCTGATTGAGACAGCGCTGTGTGGAGATCCGTCTAAGGAGGCACTCTTGCTGTGGCCTAGCAACCTGGGCTTACCTGTGGAGTGAAGAAGAAGAGGGATGAAGACAGACGAGGGATAGAAGGAGAAGGGAGAGGAGAAATATAGAAACCGTCAAACACTCACATAACTCACGCAGTGAACTGAGAAACATTTTAAAACAAAAGAAACATCATTCAAGAAAAGGAAGGTACTCAAAATAAAACTCAGGACCACCAAGCGCAGTACAATTCCATTGAAATCCTCTGTATTAAAAACACACTGGGGAACTACCACCACTTATTCTCTATTGTCATCCACCATGCAATCACTCATTGCTCTCGTACAGTGAACAATGGATAGGACAAGATGCTATGGTACTGTCGACAAGCGCGGCACAGACAAATCTCTGTTAATTTGACGTTCTCGTCGGAACAGCTTGCACAATAGCGGTCGACAAGTTCAGCTGTGACTAAATTGAAATATTATGCTCCGCCGGCTCCAATATGTCTATAAAAAACAAATATGGCTGGGTGGAAATGTTTGTTTTTATTCCCATGGCGATGAGACTGAGCCAAGGTGAAATTAAAAACACACTTCTTCCAGGATGTTTTATAAAAATTTTCCAGCTAAACTGCAGAGATCTCAGGTTGTGAGAGACACCAAGTAACCCATGAAAAAGCAGCTCCTTAGTTCAAAATGCAGCAACATTTGAAGTTGATTGAGTGCTGGATTTCCTCTGATACTATTAACTGATTATTATTTGAATGAGAGATGTTTATTCAGGCAAAATGTTTGCAGGCTGAATTGATATTCAAATGCTATTGAAGAACAGAGTAGCGCAGACCACAGATATAGAACTCTCTATGACAGATCAGGCATTTGCATTTTGAGGAAAACCTGGTAACTTGGAATGACACTCACCAGACACACATAATATGTGGAGAAGAAACTAGGCTGCTGTTTAACTTAAATGATTAGTGACAGATGCCAGATGCTCATGAATTGCAAATCCAGAAGAGGGGCATCCAGAAGATTGTGTGTGTGTGTTCCATCAAAGAGAAACGTAATGACTTCAGTGAAGCAGCAGCAAAGGAATCAATGCAGATTAAACATCAAACCTCACTAATGGCTAATGAATGAATGAAAGTCAGAAACAGAACCCTGCAAGACTGCTGATAAGAAGACTAATCCCTACCAACAGTCAATGTATTAGAGCAGGCCTAAGAGGGTATTTCTGTCAGCTTAAAATGGGCTAATTGTTGTGTCCTACCAATCCAAACAAAGAAAAGTTAGGATATATTGTATAGTCTAATCATTAAGGCTTGGAATTGCTAGGGACCTCACGATACGATATCACGATACTATCAGTATTGCGATTCGATGCTGCAATTTTACTTTGATTTGATGTTCCAAACATATTGCTCACTATATAGTATGTCTGCTGCATGAGAGAAAATGAGTTTTAAATCAGTAATGGAAGTAAAAGTGTTAAACACATTGGCTCACTATTTCAAAAGAAATGGAGAACAAGCTACAGGATGAAAAATACTAGAGTTTTGGCACAGGTATAGCCAACTGGTGCTAGTTAATGCTACCTAGCAAAAATACAAAAAAAATATTCATTTTTTATTTTACAAATCAATACTTGAGTCAAAGTATCGATATAATATCATCCAAAATAATATTGTAACTGTATTCAGTTTATCCCCCATCACTACTAATCATGTAAGCTAGGCTATACTTCACCAAAACTATGTGGACACCTGCTCGTCGAATATCTCATTCCAAAATCATGGGCATTAATATGGAGTTGGTCCCCCTTTGCTGCAATAACAGCCTCCACTCTTCTGGGAAGGCTTTCCACTAGATGTTGGAACATTGCTGCGGGGACTTGCTTCCATTCAGCCACAAGAGCATTAGTGAGGTCGGGCACTGATGTTGGGCGATTAGGCCTGGCTCGCAGTCGGCGTTCCAATCCATCCCAAAGGTGTTCGATGGGGTTGAGGGCAGGGCTCTGTGCAGGCCAGTCAAGTTCTTCCACACCGATCTCGACAAACCATTTCTGTATGGACCTCGCTTTGTGCGCGGGGGCATTGTCATGCTGAAACAGGAAAGGGCCTTCCCCAAACTGTTGCAACAAAGTTGGAAGCACAGAATTGTCTAGAATGTCATTGTATGCTGTAGCGTTAAGATTTCCCTTCACTGGAACTAAGGGGCTAGCCTGAACCATGAAAAACAGACCAAGACCATTATTCCTCCTCCACCAAACTTTACAGTTTGCACTATGCAGTCGGGCAGGTACCATTCTCCTGGCATCTGCCAAATCCAGATTAATCCATCGGACTGCCAGATGGTGAAGCGCGATTCATCACTCCAGAAAATGTGTTTCCACTGCTCCAGAGGCCAATGCCGGCGAGCTTTACACAACTCCAGCCGACGCTTGGCATTGCGCATGGTGATCTTAGGCTTGTGTGTGGCTGCTCGGCCATGGAAACCCATTTCATGAAGCTCCCGATGAACAGTTATTGTGCTGAAGTTACTTCCAGAGGCAGTTTGGAACTTGCTAGTGAATGTTGATTTCTACGCGCTACGCGGTTCAGCACTCGATGGTCCTGTTCTGTGAGCTTGTGTGGCCTACCACTTCATGGCTGAGCCGTTGCTGCTCCTAGACATTTCTACTTCACAATAACAGCACTTACAGTTGACCGGGGCAGCTCAAGCAGGGCAGAAATTTGATGAACTGACTTGTTGGAAAGGTGGCATCCTGTAATGGTGCCACATTGGGATCACTGAGGTCTTCAGTAAGGTCATTCTACTGCCAATGTTTGTCTATGGAGATTGCATGGCTGTGCGCTCGATTTTATACACCTGTCAGCAACGGGTGTGGCTGAAATAGCCTAATCCACTAATTTGAAGGGGTGTCCACATACTTTTGTATATATAGTGTAGAATAGTCTTCAAGAGGTACTATTTGGCCACTAAAAACCTGAACCATAACCTATAGGCAGCATGCTTTCAGTAAGTGCATCACTAAGCCATTGTACTCCAAATGCTCACTCAGAGACATTGTACAGGATTATCTTCAGTAAAACGAGGCCTACAGGGCCCTGTGTGGTGTGCATTCCTTATCGTCACCCCAAACGGTGTCTTTCTGTACACTTTGATGTGTTCCAGACAGGGGTGGAGGGACAAGTGTTTTCGACCAGTTTTATTGCATCTTCAAAGGGGGATAGAATATGCAGCCCAAATATAGGGGTGGGGTGGGGGATCTTCAGACTAAACTGAAGGCTTCCTCTGTGCTCTCTTTACACGGTAGCATAACAGAGTAGAATGTGGGCTTTAAAACCCCTCTGCAGTGATTATGAGAAAGGACTTCTTCAGTGAGAAAACTAAGTGTGAAATGGCTGCATTAGACATGGGGATATTTAAGGACACTCGGTTACTTTCCTTGATTCTCCTACTTTGCCAATATTCTTCATCTCAAAATCTCCCCACTTCAATTGAAGGTAGGCCTAACTTAACATATGCAGATTCTTGGTTAATCTACACAAAAAAAGGTAATAGTTCTCTTTGTATTTAACCAGGTTGTCCCATTGAGGTCAGAAGACCGCTATGACAAGGGAGACCTGTCATAAAGAGAGTTAGGCTACAACATAATGGTATGCATGCTCCACTCCACTCAAAGGGGAAGGTAATGGGACTGGGAGTGAGTGCTGGTTTGATCTTGAAGACATCTGCTAGCTCAGTGTGCACGCCAGGCAAAGGTCAGACCTTGTATCAAAAGCCAAATCACCTCAATAAAACAAGGCTATCCTTTTCCCAGCCTTCTATAACCTGTGTGTGTACATATACACAGTATATGTGTGTGTAATTAAAATGTTCCAACACCTCTATTTAATACACACCTCCACTGAAAACAGATGCTCCTCTCAGAGTGTGGCCGGGCCTCTACATATTAGTTTTAGCATCACTTCAAAACGTGCCAACGTTCTTTAGGGATAAGAAGTGTAGACTTACCAGGTTCTCTGCTCTGGCTGGGAGGCTCTTCGATATACCCTGAAGAGGGGTGAGAAAGAGAAGGTCAGCAAAATGACTGGCAGCAGATACAAACAAAGAGGTTACAGTATCCACACTAGCGTACCACACAGAGAATGCATGTCCTTTACATTGCTTCATTCCAAGTGATATGCTAGAATGGACACTGGAACAGAGCCAGACTCTAAAGTGATTGATTAAATCTGATATTATTAAATCAGTGGCGTAGTGGTCTAAGGCACTGCATCGCAGTGCTAGCTGTGCCACTAGAGATCCTGGTTCGAATCCAGGCTCTGTCGTAGCCGGCCGCGACCGGGAGACTCATGGGGCGGCGCACAATTGGCCCAGCGTCGTCCAGGGTAGGGGAGGGAATGGCCGGCAGGGGATGTAGCTCAGTTGGTAGAGCATGGCGTTTGCAACGCCAGGGTAGTGGGTTCGATAAAAATAATGTATGCGCTAACTGTAAGTCGCTCTGGATAAGAGCGTCTGCTAAATGACTAAAATGTAAATGTAATTGACAGCTGAACTATATGCCTGACGCCTCAGTAGAGAAACCAAAGGAAACTTAGGATGCTTCCCTATGGGACCTGGTCAAAAGAAGTGTACAGTCGTGGTCAAAAGTTTTGAGAATGTATTGGTCTTCACAAAGTATGCTGCTTCAGTGTTTTTAGATATTTTTGTTAGACGTTACTATGGTAATACTGAAGTATAATTACAAGCATTCCATAAGTGTCAAAGGCTTTTATTGACAATTACATTAAGCTTTATGCAAAGAGTCAATATTTGCAGTGTTGACCCTTCTTTTTCAAGACCTCTGCAATCCGCCCTGGCATGCTGTCAATTAACTTCTGGGCCACATCCTGACTGATGGCAGCCCATTCTTGTATAATCAATGCTTAGAGTTTGTCAGAATTTGCTGGTTTTTGTTTGTCCACCCCACCTCTTGAGGATTGACCACAAGTTCTCAATGGGATTAAGGTCTGGGGAGTTTCCTGGCCATGGTCCCAAAATGTCGATGTTTTGTTCCCCGAGCCACTAAGTTATCACTTTTGCCTTATGGCAAGGTGCTCCATCATGCTGGAAAAGGCATTGTTCGTCACCAAACTGTTCTTGGATGGTTGGGAGAAGTTGCTCTCGGAGGATGTGTTGGTACCACTCTTTATTCATGGCTGTGTTCTTAGGCAAAATTGTGAGTGAGCCCACTCCCTTGGCTGAGAAGCAACCCCACACATGAATGGTCTCAGGATGCTTTACTGTTGGCACGACACAGGCCTGATGGTAGCGCTCACCTTGTCTTCTCCGGACAAGCTTTTTTCCGGATGCCCCAAACAATCGGAAAGGGGATTCTTCAGAGAAAATGACTTTACCCCAGTCCTCAGAAGTCCAATCCCTGTACCTTTTGCAGAATATCAGTCTGTCCCTGATGTTTTTCCTGGAGAGAAGTGACTTCCTCGCTGCCCTTCTTGACACCAGGCCATCCTCCAAAAGTCTTCGCCTCACTGTGCGTGCAGATGCACTCACACCTGCCTGCTGCCATTCCTGAGCAAGCTCTGCACTGGTGGTGCCCCGATCCCGCAGCTGAATCAACTTTAGGAGACGGTCCTGGCGCTTGCTGGACCTTCTTGGGCGCCCTGAAGCCTTCTTCACAACAATTGAACCTCTCTCCTTGAAGTTCTTGATGATCCGATAAATGGTTGATTTAGGTGCAATCTTACTAGCAGCAATATCCTTGCCTGTGAAGCTCTTTTTGTGCAAAGCAATGATGACGGCACATGTTAACATGGTTAACAGAGGAATAACAATGATTTCAAGCACCACCCTCCTTTTAAAGATTCTAGACTGTTATTCTAACTCAATCAGCATGACAGAGTGATCTCCAGCCTTGTCCTCGTCAACACTCTCACCTGTGTTAACGAGAGAATCACTGACATTATGGCAGCTGGTCCTTTTGTGGCAGGGCTGAAATGCAGTGGAAATGTTTTTTTGGGATTAAGTTAATTTTCATGGCAAAGAGGGACTTTGCAATTAATTGTAATTCATCTGATCATTCTTCATGACATTCTGGAGTATATGCAAATTGCCATCATAAAAACTGAGGCAGCAGACTTTGTGAAAATGAATATTTGTGTCATTCTCAAAACCTTTGACCACGACTGTACTATATAGGGAATATGGTTCCATTGGGGATGCAAAGTTACCCTTCTGATGGTAGGAGAAGCCCTTCTGGTCCCTGTCTGGGGAGTAGCTCCTTCTGCTGGTGTTGGACCCGGAGCGCATAAGAATGGGGCCTGGTATTGGTGGGGTATCCCTTCTGATGGGAGAGCGGTCCCGTACTGTAGTGTAGGAGTCCCCGGCAGGGCCTGCAGGGTAGGGGCCCGGGACCCTCCGCCTGAAACCCTCAGGGTTCTCCCTGAGAAAACAGACAAAGAGCGAGAGAAGGGGATTCAAGGGCCCATCCATTCAGGTCCACTCAATTACAGAAGTAAAGCTATGCCTCTACACATGATCAGCGCCTGGATTCTAATTACCGCTGAGTGTAGCGAGTGAAAGAAGAAATCCTAACCACTTGATATGAAAATGAAGTTGCTGGACTTAGAACAAAATAAGTAGTGCTTTGTATCTTGAAAAACAGTATACAACAACTGAAGTTACCGGGTCGGTCCATTGGTGCTTGCCACTTGGTCTATTAATTAAGTGCACTAGAAAGAACGGGCCTACCCTCGGCCCAAGTACATGAGGGCATGCCTCAGGTTGGGGTCTACTCTGTCGGGGTAGGCTGGAGACACGGTCCTCGAGAGAGGAGCTAACCCTTGAACTCTGCTGCTGGGGTGGGAGCCCGCTCTGCTGCTGTTCCTAAAATGACAAAATAAAATAAAAATACTCGGGTAACAATTTACTTGACACCCAGCGTCATAACACGTTATGACGCGGTCATAACACGGTCATAATATGTCAACAGCTGACATAACTTGTCATTATATGGTCATAACACTGGCATGACACATATTTAGACCTATGGTGACATATTGCATTATTTTATGGCTGGTTATGACACCTACATAAGAGTGTCAAAACGCACAAAACCACACTACGCAAAATATTTCATTACACGATAGCCTACTTGTCAACAGTATGTTTTCTGAAATTGACCATATTAAATTATCATTGTAATTGTGCATTGGTTAGGTCAGACATGAACCTAATCGAATGCTCTGTTGCTGATAACTGGGTTGCATGCAGGAGTAGATTTCAGGAGCAGCTTTCAGGAACAGGACAATACACCTTCTTTTTGACTGATGACAGATATAAGGGCAGGTACGTGATAGGCCTATCTGGCTTATATGATTATGATGGTCATAATGCTTCTTGACAGTGTCAGAAAGCGTATTTTCTTAGTCCAATTAAAGTGACACAGGATGGTCATAATGCTTCATGACAGTGACTGTCATAAAGAGTATGTTCTGCAAGTTAATTAAAATATGATGGAGAAAAAAAACATGACTAAAGAATTCATTACAACAATAAAGGACTAAAGAAACAAACTTTCAAAACAAAACTTCTTGACAGGGAAACAACACATTTGAATAAATGTGGGTTTTGACACTTCTATATAGGCGTCATAACCATCCATAAAATAACACAATATATGTCACAACAGCTGTAAATATATGGATCATGACAGTGTTATGACCATATTATTTGTATTTATTATGCCAAGGCAGCAGCTACTCTTCCTGGGGTCTGGCAAAATTAAGGCAATTATACCATTTTTAAAACATTACAATACATTCATTACAGAATTCACAACACACTGTGCCCCCTCAGGCCCATACTCCACTACCACATATCTACAACACAAAATCCATGTGTACGTGTGTGTATAGTGCGTATGTTATCGTGTAGGTATGCATGTGTCTGTGCCTATGTTTGTGTTGCTTCAGAGTCCCCGCTGTTCCATAAGGTGTATTTCTATCTTTAAAAAAAAAAATCTGATTCTATTGCTTGCATCAGTTACCTGACGTGGAATAGAGTTCCATGTAGTCAAGGCTCTATGTAGTACTGTGCGCCTCACATAGTCTGTTCTGGACTTGGGGACTGTGAAGAGACCTCCAGTGGCATGTCTTGTGGGGTATACAGTTGAAATCAGAAGTTTACATACACTTAGGTTGGAGTCATTAAAACTCGTTTTTTAACCACTCCACAAATTTCTTGTTAACAAACTATAGTTTTGGTAAGTCGGTTAGGACATCTATTTTGTGCATGACAAGTAATTTTTCCAACAATTGTTTAAAGACAGATTATTTCACTGTATCACAATTCCAGTGGGTCAGAAGTTAACATACACTAAGTTGACCGTGCCTTTAAACCGCTTGTAAAATTCCAGAAAATTATGTCATGGCTTTAGAAGCTTCTGATAGGCTAATTGACATCATTTGAGTCAATTGGAGGTGAACCTGTGGATGTATTTCAAGACCTACCTTCAAACTTAGTGCCTCTTTGCTTGACAAAGAGGAAAATCAAAAGAAATCAGCCAAGACCTCCACAAGTCTGGTTCATCCCTGAGAGCAATTTCCAAACGCCTGAAGGTACCACGTTCATCTGTACAAACAATAGTACGCAAGTATAAACACCATGGGACCACACAGCAGTCATACCGCTCAGGAAGGAGACGTGTTCTGTCTCCTAGAGATTAACGTACTTTGGTGCGAAAAGTGCAAATCAATCCCAGAACAACAGCAAAAGGACCTTGTGAAGATGCTGGAGGAAACAGGTACAAAAGTATCTATGTCCACAGTAAAACGAGTCCTATATCGACACAACCTGAAAGGCCGCTCAGCAAGGAAGAAGCCACTGCTCCAAAACCGCCATAAAAAAGCCAGACTACGGTTTGCAACTGCACATGGGGACAAGGATAATATTTTTTGGAGAAATGTCCTCTGGTCTGATGAAACAAAAATATAACTATATGGCAGGTAGCTTAGTGGGTAAGAGCGTTGTGCCAGTAACCGAAAGGTCGCTGGTTCTAATCCCCGAGCCGACTAAGTAAAAAATCTGTCGATGTGCCCTTAAGCAAGGCACTTAACCCTAATTGCTCCTGTAAGTCGCTAAGAGTGTCTGCTAAATGACTAAAATGTAAAAAGCGTGTGCAAGCAAGGAGGCCTACAAACCTGACTCAGTTACACCAGCTCTGTCAGGAGGAATGGGCCAAAATTCACCCAACTTATTGTGGGACGCTTGTGGAAGGCTACCTGAAACGTTTGACCCAAGTCAAACAATTTAAAGGCAAAGCTACCAAATTGAGTCTATGTAAACTACTGACCCACTGGGAATGTGATAGAATAAATAAAACCTGAAATCACTCTAGTATTATTCTGACATTTCACATTCTTAAAATAAAGTGGTGATCCTAACTGACCTAAGACAGGGAATTTTTACAAGGAGTTAATGTCAGGAATTGTGAAAAACTGAGTTTAAATGTATTTGGCTAAGGTGTATGTAAACTTCTGACTTCAACTGTACATGGGTGTCGGAGCTGTGTGTTAGTCGTTTAAAAAACAGACAGCTCGGTGCTTTCAACATGTCAATACCTCTCACAAATACTATTGATGAAGTCAATCTCTCCTTTACTTTGAGCCAGGAGAGATTGACATGCATTAATCAAAGCCAGTGGCATGTCATTAGTAAAGATCCAAAAAGTAAGGGGCCTAGACAGCTGCCCTGGGGAATTCCTGATTCTACCTGGATTATGTTGGTTTCCATTAAAGAACACCCTCTGTGTTCTGTTGGACAGATAACTCTTTATCCACAATATAGCAAGGGGTGTAAAGCCCTAACACAAGCTTTTCCAGCAGCAGACTATGTTAAAAGCCGCACTGAAGTCTAACAAAACCACACCCACAATCTTTTTATTATCAATTTCTCTCAGCCAGTCAGGCATTTGTGTAAGTGCTCTGCTTGTTGAATGTCCTTCCCTATGAGCGTGCTGAAAGTCGGTTGTCAATTTGTTTAATGTAAAATAGCATTGTATCTGGTCAAACACAATTTTTTCCAAAACTTTACTAAGGGTTGGTAACAAGCTGATTGGTGGGCTATTTGAGCCAGTAAAGGTGGCTTTATTATTCTTAGGTAGCGGAATGACTTTCTTCCATCCAGGCCTGAGGGCACACACTTTCTAGTATGCTTAACTTGAAAATATGGCAAACTGGAGTGGCAATATCGTCAGCTATTAGCCTCAGTAATTTTTCATCCAAGTTGTCAGACCCCGGTGGCTTGTCATTGTTGATAGACAACAATTTTTTCACCTCTTCCACACACACAAACTTTACGGAATTCAAAATTACAATTCTTGTCTTTCATAATTTGGTCAGATATACTTGGATGTGTAGTGTCAGCGTTTGTTGCTGGCATGTCATGCCTAGATTTGCTAAATCTTGCCAATGAAAAAAACCAAGGACATGCATGTCAGCTGTTATGACATGGTTATGACCGTGTCATAACGTGTTATGACGCTGGGTGTCAAGTGTTACCAAGACTTGTATAACTCAATCAAATGTTAAGGTAAATACTTCACCATACACTACAGTGCATTCTGAAAGTATTCAGCCCCCTTGACTTTTTCCACATTTTGTTACATTACAGCCTTATTTTAAAATTGATTAAATTATTTTTTTCCCCCCTCAATCTACACACAATACCCCATAATGACAAAACGAAAACAGGTTTTAAAAAATGTTTGCAAAATTATTAAAAACAAAACGACGTATTAACATTAGTATTCATACCCTTTGCTATGAGACTCGAAATTAAGCTCAGGTGCATCCTGTTTCCATTAATCATCCTTGAGATGTTTCTACAACTTGATTGGAGTCCACCTGTGGTAAATTTATTGATTGGACATGATTTGAAAAGGCACACACCTGTCTATATAAAAGGTCCCACAGTTGACAGTTCATGTCAAAGCAAAAACCAAGAGTTCCTCTGTGGAGATGGGAGAACCTTCCAGAAGGACAACCATCTCTGCAGCACTCCAGCAATCAAGCCTTTATGGTAGAGTGGCCAGACGGAAGCCACTCCTCAGTAAAAGGCACATGACAGCCCTCTTGGAGTTTGCCAAAAGGCACCTAAAGTACTCTCAGACCATGAGAAACAAGATTCTCTGGTCTGATGAAACCAAGATTTAACACTTTGGCCTGAATGCCAAGCGTCATGTTCGGAAGAAACCTGACACCATCTCTACGGTGAAGCATGGTGGTGGCAGCATCATGCTGTGGGGATGTTTTTTAGCGGCAGGGACTGGGAGACTAGTCAGGATCGAGGGAAAGATGAACGGAGCAAAATGCAGAGAGATCCTTGATTGAAACCTGCTCCAGAGCGCTCAGAACCTGAGACTTGGGTGAAGGTTCACCTTCCAACAGGATAATGACCTTAAGCACAAAGCCAAGACAATGCAGGAGTGGCTTCGGGACAAGTCTCTGAATGTCCTTGAGTGGCCGAGCCAGAGCCCGGACTTGAACCCAATCAATCATTTCTGGAGAGACCTGAATATAGCTGTGCAGTGACGCTTCCCATCCAACCTGACAGAGCTTGAGAGGATCTGCAGAGAATGGGAGAAACTCCCCAAATACAGGTGTGCCAAGCTTGTAGCGTCATACCTAAGAAGACTCAAGGCTGTAATTGCTGCCATAGGTGCTTCAACAAAGTACTGAGTACTTATGTAAATGTATATATTTTTTTTTTTATTTGAAATTGGCAGTGATTCTCTCGTTAACACAGGTGAGAGTGTTGACGATGACAAGGCTGGAGATCACTGTCATGCTGATAGAGTTAGAATAACAGACTGGATGCTTTAAAAGGAGGGTGGTGCTTGAAATCATTGTTCTTCCTCTGTTAACCATGGATACCTGCAAGGAAACACATGCCGTCATCATTGATTTGCACAAAAAGGGCTTCACAGGCAATACTGCTGCTAGTAAAATTGCACCTAAATCAATCATTTATCGGATCATCAAGAACTTCAAGGAGAGAGGTTCAATTGCTGTGAAGGCGGCTTCAGGGCGCCCAAGAAAGTCCAGGAAGCGCAAGGACTGTCTCCTAAAGTTGATTCAGCTACGGGATCGGGGCACCATCAGTGCAGAGCTTGCTCAGGAATGGCAGCAGGTGTGAGTGCATCTGCACGCACAGTGAGGCGAAGACTTTTGGAGGATGGCCTGGTGTCAAGAAGGGCAGCGAGGAAGCCATTTCTCCAGGAAAAACATCAGGGACAGACTGATATTCTGCAAAAGGTACAGGGCTTGGACTGCTGAGGACTGGGGTAAAGTCATTTTCTCTGATGAATTGTTTGGGGCATCTGGAAAAAAGCTTGTCCGGAGAAGACAAGGTGAGCGCTACCATCAGTCCTGTGTCATGCCAACAGTAAACCATCCTGAGACCATTCATGTGTGGGGTTGCTTCTCAGCCAAGGGAGTGGGCTCACTCACGATTTTGCCTAAGAACACAGCCATGAATAAAGAGTGGTACCAACACATCCTCCGAGAGCAACTTCTCCCAACCATCCAATAACTGTTTGGTGACGAACAATGCCTTTTCCAGCATGATGGAGAACCTTGCCATAAGGCAAAAGTGATAACTAAGTGGCTCGGGGAACAAAACATCGACATTTTGGGTCCATGGCCAGGAAACTCCCCAGACCTTAATCCCATTGAGAACTTGTGGTCAATCCTCAAGAGGTGGGTGCACAAACAAAAACCAGCAAATTCTGACAAACTCCAAGCATTGATTATGCAAGAATGAGCTGCCATCAGTCAGGATGTGGCCCAGAAGTTAATTGACAGCATGCCAGGGCGGATTGCAGAGGTCTTGAAAAAGAAGGGTCAACACTGCAAATATTTATAATTACTTTTTGTAGTTAATAAATCCAATGTGAAACGGGATAACTATAGTATCCTTAACTAGCATTGCAAAAGTTAATCCATTCTTCTCTAAAACATCTCTCCCTAATTTCTGAATTACGCATGTAAAGTCATCAGTAGGCTACAGTAACCTATGCTTCAGAGAGGAAGGGGCAGGTAGCCTACACACCCCTACTGGCAAAGATTTCCAGCTGGCAGGCAGACGCTGGATTAAGTTTGAGTGACAGAGTGAAGGCTTTGCATATGCGCTTGTTGCGATTTTTGTGGGATTGGAAAAAAATGCCCAGAGCATAAAATAACGTTAGTAACCAGTGGCCAGCGAAGAGTCCAGATCTGAATCACATCCAAACACTATGGCGAGATCTGAAAACAGCAGATGGTGGAGGGCACTCCTCAAACGTTGAAGAATTAGAGCAGTTTGCTCCTGAAAAGTAGGCCGAATTACCAATAGAAAGGTGCAGCAAGCACATTGACGGCTACAAGAACCATTTGTCTGTAGTTATCTTGGCCAAAGCCTGTGCAACCAAGTACTAGCTCCGGGGCGCCAATAATTCTGCCCATGACATTTGTCTATAATTTTTGAAATAAAATTTGTAAACTAAAATTTACAAAAATTAATTTGGTTCTGCAATGTTGGAAATCTAATAAGGTGTGGAGACCAAAAGTGTTTTTCGATTTCAAGCTCAGTCTGATGATGCTGTGCCATACCGCCCCAGACCATGACAGACCCTCCACCTCCAAATCGATCCCGCTCCAGAGTACAGCCCTCGGTGTAATGCTCATTCCTTCGACAATAAACGCGAATCCGACCATCACCCCTGGTGAGACAAAACCGCGACTCGTCAGTGAAGAGCACTTTTTGCCAGTCCTGTCTGGTCCAGCGACAGTGGGTTTGTGCCCATAGGCGACGTTGTTGCCGGTGATGTCTGGTGAGGACCTGCCTTACAACAGGCCTTACAATAGGTGTTGTTACACGTGGACTGCCACTGCGAGGTCGATCAGCTGTCCGTCCTGTCTCCCTGTAGCGCTGCCTTAGGCGTCTCTCAGTACGGACATTGCAATTTATTGCCCTGGCCACATCTGCAGTCCTCATGCCTCCTTGCAGCATGCCTAAAGCACGTTCACGCAGATGAGCAGGGACCCTGGGCATCTTTCTTTTGATGTTTTTCAGAGTCAGTAGAAAGGCCTCTTTAGTGTCCTAAGTTTTCATAACTGTAACCTTAATTGCCTACCGTCTGTAAGCTGTTAGTGTCTTAACGACCGTTTCACAGGTGCATGTTCATTAATTGTTTATGGTTCATTGAACAAGCATGGGAAACAGTGTTTAAACCCTTTACAATGAAGATCTGTGAAGTTATTTGGATTTTTACGAATTATCTTTGAAAGACAGGGTCCTGAAAAAGGGACGTTTCTTTTTTTGCTGAGTTTATTTGGCCGCAACTGTATAAATGAACCAACCAGCGGCACCTGGTTTTCATGACCCCTGCTTGAACTTCGAGGGCCATGTCCCAAACAAAGAGCAGGCCTAACAAGGCCTCCATCATATACGCCCCCAGGCCCGTTTGAAGTAGCCAAGGCTCAGCCTGCCAAATAAAGTTAATTACCACCGTTGCAGTGAGCGATCCCTCAAACTCACCTCACGTCTTTCCATAAAAAAAGCTATGAAAAAGGAATTCTGTGGTCACTATACATCAAATGTAATCTTCTGAAGAAAATTCCTAGATGTAATTGCTGGTCAAGTATGTCTATAGCTGCATTTTCAAAGCCGTTCTTCAAAGCATAGGAACAGGTTCTCTAAACGCAGGTTATATCCTTGCAGACCAGAGAGAATAAAACATGCTGATCTGAGAGCAAGAGTAATCAAAAAGATAACCAGAACAACTGGGTGTCATAGTCCCACCTGCAATAACAGGGAAACTAAACACTAGCTCTTTCAGGTCCAGGAAGAAACACAACTGCATAATACCAGAGCGGGAAAAGGAGACCCTGGCCTGACTAAGCTTGAAAGTATTCAAGAAGATCTGAGAGCGCTTCTATTCCCTATATAGTGCACTACTTTTGACCAGAGCCTCTAAATAGGGAATGCGTTGCCATTTAAAGCCACAATCCATTACACTGAAAGCATTACACAAACAAATTAAACATTAAATTAACTCATTTTGAAAATAAATAATATATAAACACAATATCAATTTAGGTCATTGGCTTTAGTCATAAGGTTATTACAGCCAACGCCTCCCTCTCTCCATCATCTATCTGAATAGTGAAATCAATAATATATCATTGCAATCAGCCCTGTGCACAAATATAACATGAGTGCACTTAACAGGCTCCCCATTTTTAACTCATTATCTGCTATTCATCACGAGGTGAAGAGCTCCACAATGGAGCAGATTGAGCAATCCATCCGCCGCCGCCCACCTGCCTCTATCGCCAAGGCCCACCTGCAGTGTGTACCCCCCCCCCCCCCCCAGACACACACCCCATCAAAATGTGTGTGGGAGTCTTGTGAAGACCATGAACAGCAGAACCCAGGCCCAGGTCTTGTGTTGAGGGGAAAGGGGAGAATGTTGTGGTGGTGGAGTGGCCTTGCTGTTCGTCTGGTGTCTGGCCACCTCAGTCTTCAACACCTCCGGCCAGGGGAGAGAGACCCAACAAAGACTTCCTGACCGCTGCTTCCTGTGGGCTACACTGCAAGGGTGAGGCCTCCAGTCAACCTCCTGACCACACTAATGGCGGAAAACCAGACCCAGATGCCCGCCTGCCACCCTGTCAAAACCACACCATGAGTCTCTCCATTAGGTTCCGTTGCTTAAAAGCCGAGGGAGCTGCAATGACAATGGTGAACCAACTAGAACCAATGTGGGAGAGAGAATAGCACATGTCTGTGATAAATGTGTGAGGTGTCATACTATGGATGCTAAAAATAATTGGACTGGATGCAGTAATGAAGGAAGAGGTGAGAAACTACACCATAGTTAGCTTGCTCTCCCTCTCTCGCACAGAAGACAGCATACAGCGCATGTATGCTGTACAGCGAGTCTGAGGAAAGCCGAGAGTGTGGTGGTGGTTGTTTGGCTGGAGAGGGAGTGGCCGGCGGCCCAGATGGTTTTCCTGTGGGGGTTTAGCCTTGTTGGCTCAGTGAGTTGACACTGGTGCCCTTTGTCCCTGTCTGGAGTCTGGTATGACACTTGGGGAGGAGTGAATGAGGAGGGGTGGGTCTTGGCCTGTGAACTGTTGGCACTCTGTATTCGGCCACTGCTAGACGGATGTCTTGGCAGCACAGGGGCAGAGCAGATCCACTGGCTTTAGCTGTGCTCTGTATGGCGTCGAGCTGACAAGCTCTCCAAGGCAAGGAGTGAGGAGTGTGGTGGCTGATAAGTGGAATATGGTATGAAACGAGAGCCAAGAGCCTCCTCTCAGTATTTCCCTTGCATTAACTCAGAGACAGGTTGGCAAATTCGCTTCAGTGTTTTCAACCCCTCTTCAAAATCAGTGACTGTGCGATATATGTCAAATGTAATATCTTGAGTGGGGATTTACACTGAGTATACAAAACATTAAGAACACCTGCTCTTTCCATGACAGACTGACCAGGTGAAAGCTATGATCCCTTATTGATGTCACTTGTTAAATCCACTTCAAAATCAGTGTAGATAACGAGGAGGAGACGTGTTAAAGAAGGATTTTTAAGCCTTGAGACATGGATTGTGTACGTATGCTATTCAGAGGGTGAATGGGCAAGAAAAATGATTTAAGTGCCTTTGAACGGGGTATGGTAGTAGGTGCCAGGCGCACCGGTTTGTGTCAAGAACTGCAACGCAGCTGGGTTTTTCACTCTCAACAGTTTCCCGTGTGTATCAAGAATGGTCCACCACCCAAAGGACATCCAGCCAACTTGACACAACTGTGGGATGCATTGGAATCAACATGGGGCAGCAACCCTGTGGAACGTTTTAAATGCCTACCGAGCTGCAATAATTAAAAGCAATAATTAGAGATTTTAATCAATGCTACATGTTATGCAAATTGTGCTTTAAACAAAGACACATACATGATTTGAAAAACACTGCTCAAAAACGTAGTTAGAGAGGCGAGCCGTATCAAATCCTAGATGCCATTGCCTACCGTTGTGCCCTTGAGCAAGGCACTTAACCTCCCACAACAACAACTCCCAGTGCGCCCAGTGTGGCAGCCCCCCGCACTGCTCCAAAACCGGAATATACATGTGTCTTTCGGAGGGGACCTTGTGTGCAATTGACCAATGAAGTGATCCTAATCTTAATCATTATGGTGGCTTGAGAAATGTAGAACACTGCTGCCATCTGGTGGTTCATAGTATAGAACCACCACAGTACTTTAAACAGGAATTAACAAAGTATTAATTCAACGGCTCTCTCAATCTTATAGACGTGGTCAAGCCTGATTTACCTTATCTCTCCTTGACGCCCCATCTGGCAATCATCTCTTGATCCCCTGTAGTATGGATCCCTGTAGTCCTCCTGCATACAAAGATAGAGGTTGTGTCGAAATGTGTGAATAATACAAACAGACTGCTGAAAATGACAATCTATTGATATTCAACTAGGCTACCATCTAAACGGTCAGTTTTTATATCAGTTCAACTGCAAAGAAAGTAACCTAAATCTTTGTTTTCTGAGATCAATATGACAATGGTCATTATAAAGCTTCACCAACCTGTCGGGGGGGTGGGGAGTTCCTCCCTCGGATGCTCCCTACCATGTCACCATGGTATCCACGATCACTTCCTGTGTGAATGTTGTCGCTAGGGTACCCTCTCTGGTCATCATCTTGGTAACTTTGAATGCCACTATACCGCTTGGTTTCATATTCAAATTCTCTGTCATATTCTTGCTCTGGTCTTGTCACAGCAGTCCTCCTCTCGACAACATTCACAACTCTCTGGTATGTTCCCTAAACAAGAAGCATTACGACATGGATTAGTTTCTTTAAAAAACACGAGTGCAGTGAGAGACTTAATGTACTCTATGAATGAACGTACCTAGACATCTGTACATCTCTTTATATTGACAACTTCATGAAGGATGGTCTATGGCCTAATAAACACTCACGTGACGACAACACATATGCAAAAGTAATCTACACTGTCTGCCCAAAGAGTGCTTTGTGCAAAGTGCTAGAATGACCAGTCACTTACCGCTCTCTCTGAAATAAGCTCATCATAGGCCTCTCTGATTCGGCTTCGGTCTCGCCTGTATGCCACTGCAAGTAAGGGACAACAAGCATACAATCACAGCCTAGACAATAATTAACCCAAAGGGACGCAAACTAAAATGGGTTAATTGTCCACTGCTTGTTTGATCATGAATACGGTAATACGGTCACTACGACAGCCCTACTTGTGTGACAAGAAGCTGTAATCCTAGGGTCGGCAACGAAATCCTTGACGTTTCGCCTGTGAACTGTTAAGTTGGAGACTGAGGTTGCGCTGAGATCAAGCTAGCTGAAATCCTATTGGTTGAAGAATTGGTCCGACTTCAAAAGCAACTAAACACAATCATGTCGGACTTCCCAGTTTCCCACAAGCACATGAATGCCTCATTAGACAGTAACTTTGTGCAGTGTGTACAGGCAGTGTGTGCACTAAGGAGACTTAGATAACTTTTATACTCTAGCAAACAGAGAGATGGCAAATCAAACTATGAAAGTATCTGAGCTAGGCATCAGGGTTTCAGTATAACTGTCCCTTCATATTGTGCACACTGATTTTTCAGTTACTGTAGTGGAGTGTGGTATAGCTGTAGGTAACTTACTCCTTGTCGCTGAAGGGCTCCTCAATGTGGTGTTGGACTGGGAGAATGTAAAACCTGTAAATATTGATGAATATTTAACAATTATTGAGTTGTCTATGCAGTGTATTGATACAAATGTGATTGATATTCAAAAACTAGGATACAAGACACAGAAAGAGAAATAGCACATGTAAACAAATTCAACTGGGGCGTATTCATTACGACGTTTCTTAAACGGAAGGAAACGGGGAGGGACCTACCTGAATTACCCCTGGGGTGTAATCATTAGTCCACACACTTGCTAAAACGACCGTTTCTATTATTGGAAAAATTCAGGCAGCTAGGGGCCCTCCCAGTTTCGTTACATTTGCTTCCGTGTAAGAAACGATTTGCAACAGAGTCTGCGTAATGAAATACGACCCTGATGATTAATAATGTTGCTATATAAACATCCTAAGTCAATTGCAATGATAACGTCTCTAGCTAGTACGAACAATATTGGATAGTTAGTTAGCTAGCCTAGCTAGCTAGCAAACAGAGATGCTGGCAATTGCTAGCTAGCTTACACTGAAGCTGTTGCTAGGAAAAACGAATTTACCAGCTGAACGTGCTCTGTGTATTAGTACTAAAGGTAGTCTTGCATTTTTTGCGATCAAATAGTAGATTTTTAAAATATATTTCCAAACCTTTCTGCATGTGCAACATTTGACAACAAACACCACGAGCAAAATTGTACCTCTTCCTCGTCGGTGTTTGATAGGCGGAGTGCAGTATGTTACGCTGAGTTTACCGCCACCTATCTTCTTATTCTTCTTATTTTTCTTCTTCCTCTTCGTCTTCTTCTTCGATGAGGTTTAACGGCGGTTGGCATCCAATAAATGTTGCATTACCGCCACTTATTAGACTGGAGTATAACTCCCTTTTTTAAAATACATTTTGCATTTTACATATTTAGCAGACGCTCTTATCCAGAGCGACTTACAGATAGTGAGTGCATACATTTTTTTTCATACTGGTCCCCCGTGGGAAACGAACCCACAACTCTGGCGTTGCAAACGCCATGCTATACAAGGGACTAAACAAATAAACAAATACCCTACCATCTAACACTACACTCCAATATTTTTATTTAAAAAAAAAAAAACACCACACAAACACCATACAAACACCACAATTTCAATCTATTTAGTCCTACTTCATGCCAACAGCCTGAAAGGATGGGACACCACCACTTAACACACCCTGAAACTCTTCTGACACCAAGTCTCGCACACTCAAATACCTCTCTGCAGCTACCACCACAACCTCAATTTTCTGAGACTTACGTTCCATCCCTGCAGTACAGTTGATAACCATTGCTATAAATGCTAAAAATCCAATCTCACTGAAACATATATCATTTGTTGGCCTATCCCTCTGTACTGGTACAGATCTACTACTCTCACCACTCCTCTCAGGATCCCTCCCCCTTGACCCATCTTCCTCTACTTTCTCCACTGCCTCAGCATATGACAACTTCTGCACTACTCTAACCCTGGAAACCTCAACCTGCCTCTCTCGCACTGGGCATTTCTGATCCCCAGCCCCATGGCCACCCCTACAATTAACACATACCACTACTTTCCCGAATGCTACACATTCCTTTGTCTCATGCCCTTCTGCACACTTCTCACACCTAGGAACCTCCCTCCTACACACTGCTGCCACATGCCCATAAGCTTGACACCTTTAACAACGTAATGTATTTGGCACAAAAGCTTGTACAGGATAACTTATATATCCTAACATCACTTTGTCGGGCAAAGACTCAACATCAAAACTCAAACCGCCACCTATCGTTCTAGAAAGCGTATTTTTTCCCCTAAACGAGTTAGCCGAAACCATGCCCCGTTTCATAATTGGTCAACAGCATGAGTGCGGTGATTGGATAGAGTCAGAGAGCCTCAGCCAGGCGCGTGCGGTCAAAAGCGTACCGTCACAGACAGAAGGGTTAACCCAGATACGTCACAGGGACTATAAAGATGAAGCATCCGTTAAGAACGTTTTCTCACCACCAAATGTGGTAGTGAAAGGAAGTCCAGTGGGAGAGGCTGGAACTAGGTGAAACTGGGCCGACATTCTGCACATTTTCTCATCGATGAAACTGGTCTCAATACATTTTTCTGTTCCCAAAACAAAAATATGTTATGAACACAGTCCACTAAATTTTATAGACTGGACGCTTTGCTATTTAAAAAAAAAAAATTTTGTTTAGAAAGACTGCCAGGTCAAATTGTCCACACGGGTACTTCACAGAGGAGGCATTGCCTGACGGAAATACTCAAATACATGGTAAAATCCGCAAATAGGATCTCGCTAGCTCGTGCTTGGCTTTGCCCACCTCTTTGCTTGTTCTGCCCTTGTGCTTTATTTGCTCCCACTGCAAACAACACAGATGAACTGTCTTGGGTTAGTTATAAATATCTTTGGTACCGTCAAAAAGCAAACCCTCATCCGCACGCCTATGGGTTCGTATCCCACACACACACTTGCACACACCATTGGATGCAGTGATCACAATATAGTGGCTATATCTAGGAGAGCCAAAGTTCCAAAAGCTGGGTCTAAAATAGTGTATAAGAGATCATACAAAATACTTTTCTGTGACTCTTATGTGGATGATGTTAGAAATATTTGTTGGTCTGATGTGATTAATAAGCATCATCCAGATGCTGCATTTGACACATTTATGAAATTGCTCCTTCCAGTTATTGGTAAGTACTGTATGCACCTGTTGAGAAACTGACTGTTAGAACTATTAAGGCTCCATGGATTGATGAGGAATTGAAAAACTATATGGTTGAAAGAGATTGGGCAAAAGGAGTGGCAAATAAGTCTGGCTGCACATCTGACTGGCTGACTTACTGTAAATGGAGAAATAATGTGACTAAACTCAACAAAAATAAAATTTTACTGTATTATGAAGCCAAGATCAATGATACTGTATAAAGAATGATAGGGGAAAAAACGATGGAGTACTTTAAATGAAATGATGGGCAGAAAGACAAATTCAACTCCATCTTTCATCGAATCAGATTATTCAACATAAAACCATTTGATGTTGCCAATTATTTTAATGATTACTTCAGTGGCAAAGTGGGCATATTTAGGAAGGAAATGCCAACAACGAACAGTGATCCATCGTATTCATGCATAAAAATACAAATAATGAAAGAAAAACATTGTAAGTTAGAATTTTGTAAAATTAGTGTGGGAGAGCTGGGAAAAGGATTGTTATCGATCAATGATGACAAACCTCCTGGCATTGACAACTTAGATGGAAAGCTACTGAGGATGGTAGCTGACTCTATGGCCACTCCTGGAGGGAAGCCAAAGTCAATCCGCTACCCAAGAGTGGCAAAGATGCCTTCTGGTTCTAACAGCAGACCTATCAGCTTGCTGCCAGCTCTTAGCAAACTGTTGGAAAAAATGTTGTTTGACCAAATACAATGCTATTTCACTGTAAACAAATTGACAACATGCTTATAGAGAAGGGCACCCAACATGTACTGCACTGACACAAATGACTGATGATTGGTTGAAATAAATTGATAATAAGAAGATTATGGAAGCTGTACTGTTAGATTTCAGTGCAGGCTTCGATATTATTGACCATAACCTGTTGTTGGGAACTTATGTTTTATTGCTTTTCAACCTCTGCCATATCGTGGATTCAGAGTTAGCTATCAATACTG